GGGCCAGGTCCTCAGTGGAGGGCATATGAGAGGCAACCACACATTGATTCTCCCTCCCTTCCCTTCTCTAAATTAATTAATAAAATAGTTTTTAAAAATAAATGCCAAGCAAAACCTTAATGAGATATCACCCCATGCCTGTTAAGAGTGGCTATTATCAAAGACAGGAAATGACAAGTGCTGGAGAGGATGTGGAGAAGAAGGAGCCCTCACACACTGCTGGTGAGAAGACACTGTCGGTGGGAAGGTATGTAAACTGGTACAGCCACTGTGGAAAACAGTACGGTGGCTCCTCAAAAAAAAATTAATAAGAAGAACTACCATATGAGCCAGCAATCCCTCTTCTGGATATTTACCCGAACAATTTGAAAACACTATTTATAAAGATACATGTACCCTTATGTTCTCTGCAGCATTGTTCACTCTGGCGAAGACATGGAAACAACCTAAGTGTCCTTCAACTGATGACAACTGGATGAAGAAGATGTGGTACTTACATACAATGGAACACTACTGAGCCATAAAAGATGATGAAATATTGCCATTTGTGACAGGTAACATAGATAGGCCTTCAGAGTATCAAGCTAAGTGAAACATGTCAGACAGTAAAGGACGAGAACCATATGATTTCACTGATATGTGGGAAATAAAACAGCAACAAACAAACAAATAAAACAAACTCACTCATAGACACAGATAACAGTATGGTGGTTACCGGGGGGGAAGGAGATGGGTGGGGGGTGAAGTAGGGTAAAGGGGGTCACATATATGGTGAGGAAAGAAGACTAGACTTTGAGTGGTGACATACGATATAATACATAAATGTTATATTATAAAGCTGTATACCTAAAACTTATAGAATGTTATTTACCAATGTTACCCCCAATAAATTTAATTTAAAAAAGAATAGAAAGAAGGTTGGCATGACTGACATATGGTGGGTATTAGAGGGGAAAACAAGAAGAATGATGTCTGAGGTGGATGTGGCCCGCTATGCACACCTGCAAGGGACTCCGGCCGATGCTCGTTAGCGCACTGCCTCTGCCGTGGAGTGGGCTTCTTGGCCAGGGGCATGGTCCTCTGTATGACAAAGCAGCGGGCATTCTAAGTCCCTGAATTCTGGTGTCGGCGGAGGTATGACAGGCAAGGACAGAAGATCCAAATTCAGAATAACATCCCATTTCCATGAAAACAAATCAAGCTTCCCAAATCAAAGGGAAGGAGTCCAATGGGATGAGCCCGCCGGCCTTAGATGTGTTTTACATTGCGCTCCCCCAGGAGCCAATGCCGAGACAAGAACTTGTGCTCAGGAGATGACCCCGTAAGTGCCTGGCTGCTTTGTTCTAAATCTCCATGGATTCTAGGTCCAACCCTTAAGGTTCATTTGCAAAACCCTTCCCCAAACCTTCACACCTATTTTCAATGTCCTCTTTTCCTGTCTCTGACCTCGAGCCAGTGACTGGTTATAGGGCTTGTCTCAGGTCATGCTTCCTTCCATTCAAGATACGGGATAAAGGCATTGCTTGAAATCCTGCCCGGTATCTGCTGAAATCCTGCCCTCTGCTGTCCAAGACAGCCGCTGAGGGGTACGGTATACAAGGGTGCGCTTCCAGCTGGCAGCGCGCAGGGTTCAACGTCCATAAACCAGGCTTGACTTTTTCATTCTCAGTTAATCGGCTAACACCTCTCCACAAGGGCGAAGGGACAGACTAGCGGCCAAGGGTGGGAATAGTGTAGTTAAAAGCACAGGATGGGAAGAAATCTGCTCACATAAACCAAATGCCCGGAAATGGTCAACTACATGAATAGATGGATTAACAGCACCTTGTGTGCCATGGTCTCCAACATACTGGTAGCCAGTTGGAGCTGTTTCTGAAGTGGAAAAGTGTAATCTTCCTGAAGGGGTTCATGGCCTTGCTCCCAAATCCTGTGGGCTTCCACCGTGTCTTTTCCAGAGAGACTTGTTTCTGACTTCAGCAAGTGTCCCCATCTGCCAGGCTTTTTGAGAGGGCTGAGCAGAGCTGCTCAGATGGCAGCCTGGGCCTCCTACAGAGACTGTTTTTGCACTGACAACTTTTCGGGTCGCCTAGTAAACAAGTAAGTGCGAAACCCCGGTGCGCTGTATGCTGTCTCTACCACAAGGTCCTGTGCACTTGTATTTACAGAACAGGCAAGACATAGCAATTTGTCTTTAATGCTGGAGGGGCTATCTCAGCATGGACTAGACCACTGTATCCCTGGGGATATTGCTAAGCAGCCAAGTGCCCTTACTCCCATGAGATTCAGAGTCCATCCTTTCTAATATACGTGTCTTTCCAAGGCATTGGTGTATCTGTTATTTCCTGCCCTGTATTAGCACAATGTGCTAATGTGACATCTGTGTGTAGCAAATGGCTGGAGCTGACATCTATGGGACAGATTTATAAGCTCTCCCTGTCCCTGCCAGGTAAAAGCAAGCTGCTAGTGGACTCTGTAAACCAAAATGGATAAAAATGTGATGGTTAGACCAATAGTTACATGTCAAATGCCAGAGGCTGTACTTAGTTGCTCCAATAGAGATCATTTCCAAAACAGCAGCTGTAATTCAGATCACCTCAAGGTTAAGTTTTAAGGTAGAGTCCACTGTCATTCTCCAAGACCCATCAATCTCTCTCCCTGGTCTAACGGAAGTACACTGTACATTTGGGGATATGACAGATTACCACATTTGTATCTTCCTACCCGTTGATGGTTGCACTAACTTCTGTAATTAGACAAACTGCTTTTTTACTTGTCATTTTGATAGGAACGGAATGCTCCAAATGGCTTTCCCCTGGCCCTTCCATCTCAGGGACCTACTCCTCAGGGCAAGGAGCCAGTGTTGAGATGGTGTGCATCCTGTCTGCACCTAGGAGCTGAGGAAATAAACTGGGGGGTGGGGGAAGTGGAGAGGAGTTCAGAGCCCCAGTGGGCTTATGGTGAGAGAGGGTCCAATCTCCCTCCCATAACCTCTATTCTGACCAGGGGCCACAGGATTTCTTTCCCAAATACACATCACCTAAAGAAGTAGCTGGGTAGAAGGCTCATCATACCCATCTGTTATATAGCACGCCTGTTTAAACCAAGGGTTCTGGTCCTGAGGATTAACTCAGGTCCAGGAATTGAGAAATTGTGACCTTCCAGCTTAATTCGTGTTAGTTACTAGACCTATACAGTTGCCTTAAAAGAAAAATCATGCTAAAACCTAAGGTAGCTTCCTATTGCTTTCGTGACTGACTCTAAGGTTACCGAAGCACAGTAAGATTGTGCAGCTCGGACATTTCCCAACGACTGCCTTTCCACCTTCTCTCACCTGGTGAAAAACACACCCAGTTTTCTTCCAACAGATAAACCCCCAACACACCTGACCCAGAAAGAACAGCGAGCCAGAACTTGTTTTTTAAGTCACTTTTTAAAAAAGATTTTAGACAGAGGGGAAGGGAGGGAGAAAGAGAGAGAAACATCAATGTGTGGTTGCCTCTCACACACTCCTACAGGGGACCTGGCCCACAACCCTGGCATGTGCCCTGGCTGGGAATTGAACCAGCAACCCTTTGATTCACAGGCTGGCACTCAGTTCACTGAGTTACACCAGCCAGGGCCAGGAGAGAACTTGTAATTACTCACAAGTTTCCCTTGGCAATCTATTCCTAATGGCATTAAAAGCAACGATTTAGGCCCTGGGAGAAAAGTTACTGAAGCGGTCGATGGACAGATCACATGACATCTCAGCCTAGCACTGGCCAGCCTGCAGTGTGGTCCTGCTCTACAGTGGTCCATCAGCCAACTGTAGATGGCTGCCCAAAATAACACACTGAATATAGATAGTGTCTCCTGAGGGCACCAAATTCAACCTGATCCAGCTAAGTATGGGATACTCACCCAGCGGTGGGGCTGTGAGAAAACTTCAGTTTCCTATGATTGAGCAAAACTTTCAGAAGGACTAGTGTGGTGTATTTTCTTTAGCTCAGTCGTTCACAACCTTAGGTGCAATGCAATCATCGGGTTGGAATCCAGAGATGTTGGTTTAAAATCTTGTGCCTCTAGAGCTTAAAAATTGCCCTGGGTGACACGCAAGTGCAACAAGAACTTTCTAGCTCCTTCCAGATGTCCCTAGACCAACAATCAGGACCACAATCTATCCCTTAATTTCCATGCAAGAAACCTGAGGTTAGTTAAGCCATGTAACTGCTCGGTTTCACTGAATGTCTTGAGTTGAGATTTGGGAATCGAGGTTCGTTTTCTCCTTAGGTTATCGAGTGCCCTTGAAAGCAATGGTCTGACTCCATTATCACTGCATTCTTTTTCCGTCACCATTATATTGTTCTATCGTGGCTGCCAGTATCCAAGGACCTTATCCTAGGAGGCTCGTGGGTCCTGGTCACTAAAACCAGTACCATAGCTTGATAAGCTACCTGACTGCTGACTCTGCTTGCTTTCTGTCCAGAACACAGAGGGATGTGGCACCGCCCTTCATCTAAAGACATGGCCAGTGCCTAGGATCCCTCATCTCCCCGGAGGTCTTTTGCCTACAACCCATCTTCTGAAACCAGTCTAATATTAAAGTTCTTCTGTTTGAAGCAACAACAAAAAAACCAGCGACCCTAGTTCATGTAAAGAAGTAAGAACACAGCGGGTGGATCCTGGGATGGTTCACACATCCAAATGCGCTGTGAAAGAACCAAAGCTCAGGAAGCAGGAAGTCTCTGAAAACCTCCTTGGAGAGAGCAACCATAAAAGCCACTGAGCTCTGGTGACTCTTCACCTCTCTGTCTCTCCATTCAAGTCTCCCCTCCCCTCAGGAAAATCTGCTGGGCTCAGCTCAGGCTCAGGCCCCCCGCCCATCGGCTGTTTTAGTGAGGCAGGACCCCGGGACAAGGGGGAACCAGGCGGCCACCCCAACAGAAGGCTACTTCAGTTACCCGTGTTTGTAAGCCTCTATTTTGTAATCGGTAAGTGACAAAGTGAAGGACAAAAAGACATTGTTTAATCAAATCATTTTAATCAAATTAAAAGTAAGCAGTAAGCAGTGCAATTACTTGAAAAGGCCCATATTTTACAAGTTTTAACTGTTTTCCACTGTCTTTACTTGTAAGGGGTTGAAGGTGGGACCCACTCTTGAATCTTCTTTCTAGTGGTGGAATAAGGTACATACTGTTCCGGAGTGCCACTCACGTTGAATTTATGGTTTGTCCAAATGAATTTACGAGCAGTAGGTGGCTTTGTTGTTGGAGGATCATCAGTCATACAGTGAAGCCAACGATGCCTTAAAGAGGGGAAAAAAGACAGTTGTGAGGGGGCAGAGCAGTGGGGTGGGCGACGGAGCTATTTTGTTACTTGAGCTCAAATCTGAGCTCCATTGCTTACTGGCTGAATTTTTCTATACCTTAAGTTTTTCATCTGAACATTTTACTTCCTAAGGATAGTATAAGGATTAAATGAGATAATTCACATAAAAGCCTAGGAAAATTCCTGTGCACAGTAGGTACTCAACAAACGTTTGCTACTGCTATTATCCTTACCGTATTTCATCAAATCTAGGACGCCATCAATTTTAAGATACACCATTATTTTATGTAGCTCTAAGAAAGAAAAATGCTGCCAATTCAATTATGACACTATTGATGAGAATATGAATCCTAATTTTAGCTGTAAAAATACATTTTAAGATTGACGAACTACAGTATTACTACAAGACGCTAAGGCTGATTCTGGTTTTCCGTGTGCTCAGGCTGTTCCAACTAATGACAGTGTGAAGCCCAACGCTGAAGGGGAGGAGGAGAGTCCCCACATGCCTCTGAAATTCAAGCTTATGTCTCAACACCAGAGAATGTACTCTTTGTTATCTTAAAATTATTAGATCGCAGCCCAAAGTTCACAAGTGTTTCAGGCTAAGTGTTTAACCATTTCCGCTCAAAGGCTATTTGCTGGGAGGTGCCAGAAAGCTGGCCTAAAGAAGGAAGCTGGGTGTCTTCTTCGCAGTACACAGAGGAATGTCTCTCTAATGACAGAGAAAGGAAGACTCGTCGTCCACAGGACAAAGAGTAAAATTGAGCAGGAAGCCAAACTGAGTTTACATGGGAACGACAATTCATCTCACATCCCCCAAGGCTCAGAGCTCATAAGACAGATATGACCCTATGAAAAAAGGGAATGAGGAGATGGCCTCCGGGGGCGGGGGTGCGGGGGCGGTGGCGAGGGATTGCCCAGCTACAGAGAAAAGTGCAAGTGGAGGAGGTTTCAGGAAAATAATAAGGCTAATGCTAATAAGAAAAATGTATGATGCTATGTGAGTTCAAGAATGTTTGCTAGTAGTAATAGCTCTAACTAGGTAATTGACTAAAACCATTGAGAGAGATAAAACATTATTACTGTTGCTATATTTGAGGCTAAAGATAATTGTATCTGATCAGCTAACTGCAGGAAGAAGTCTGTACACATGGGGCTGCTGTCCCTGTTACATCCTCCAAAGGAAGTGGGACTAGTGAGAGCGATCTGAACCAGTGAACCACGACCATGAGCGTGTGCTCTGAAACACTGAGGTGTCCCTGGTGAGACAAGCTCCCCAGCCACTCGGACGAGGACAGGCTGTCAAAACCAGGGCTGTTACTCATCAAGGGGCTTTATGTAAATGCAAGCACAGCGGAGATATTTAGCTTTGCCTTGCTGAGTCATCTTAAGTAACTGAAGAAAATTTTATTCAAATAATTGCTGTTATGACTCCTGAAGATTAAATGATATTTAAAGAACCATAATCCAAAGATTTTTTGTGTGTCTTACTCAGTTACTTAAGTGACAAGATGAAGAGCTTGTGGAGAAATAAAAATGATCAAAAAGCTAAAAGGCATTTTTTAACACAGTACATAAAATCTGAACGTGTATCCAGTAAGGCTACTGGCAAGAGTCAGGAGATGCGTCAACAACTCATACTGACTGGCAGTGTGAGGGACCCTAAGAAACAAAAAATGTCGTTCTCTGCCGGGCTAGCATAACCTTCTGTTATAATTAGTATTAAATAAAGGTTACAGAAATTATACCTTTTAGAGTTCCACACCAAAGATTTTTTGCAAAGCAGGTTTTCAGCGGGGCCTTTTTATTCCAATTAATGAAAGGCGCCAATGGACGGACAGCGCACTGTCCAGGAAGCTGCTGTGCGGGCGTCACAGCCGCCTCCTTTCCTACCACTGGTATTTTCTTACAGGACAAAACACAAAGTTACTTAAACACGGTGATCAAGTCAGTGAAACGGCAAAGAAGACTGGCAGAAAGGTAAAACGTTATAAAGACTAAAGAGATAAACATTTATAATGATAACATAATACATTTTGAGAAAAATTCAGAACTCAAATATATTGAAGTTATATCAAAATAATGGGAAACAAAGACATTAAATCACAATTACAACACAACTCAAATGGAAATGAACCCCACAAATGGTTGGCCCTATTTTCAGTTGTATAAGAGCAAAAAGTGTGTCCGTGAACAGGGAAAGACTAGTCCTTTCTTGGGAAATACACTACTTCACTTAAATAGCCCCTCCGTTTGAATGCATTCAAAGTGCAAAATGAAAGGATTTATTTTAAAAATCATTGCAGATGGAAACAGTCTTTAAGGTTAGTATTGCTAACAAAGATTAAAAAGTTTAATTCTTTTCAGAAAATTCTCAGAAATAAAACATTACCAAATAACAGTGAACAACAACAACAACAAAAATATAGGCTGATCTGAATCCTTCTTCTTTCTGGATAATGCACATTACTAGTTTTGGGAATCAAGACTGGTTTCTGACCTTACATAACGTTCATGTTTCAGATGCTTTCACTTAACATCACTGAGCTTAGAAATGCCAAAGATTTTTTAGTTTAAAAAAAAAAATATATGAAAGACTAAAGAAAAACTCCAGATTGCTTTTTAAGATAAAAATACTCATCATACTACCCTGGCCAGGTGGGTAAGTAGGTTGGGGCATTGTCTCTATACACCAAAATGTTGTGGGTTCGATCCCTGGCTGGGCACCAGTCCGTGTTTCTCTCTCCTTCTCCCCTACTTCCTCACTCTCTGGAATCAATAAACATACCTTCGGGTGAGGACTGAAAAAAAATACTCATCACACTAAAACTATTATTACTCTCTCCCACTTTATGAGACATTCTCACACATGATCACTTAGTCACTTATTTAATAATATTCCTTATTTTAAAACTGAGAAAGCAGAATTGAAATGACTTTCACAAGGTCCCACAGCACATATGTTACAGAGCTGAGGCTGGAACACAGCCCCTCAATAGCTGAAGAGAATCCTTTGATCAGCAACTTAAATTACAATCAGTAGATGAAAACCGGGTTAGAATTATGATAGCATCTAAGAATCTGCCAAAATCCTGAGATCCATCTCACCCCAGAATGGTATTGATAAATTCAACAAATTTAAGAAAGAAAAGATACTTCATTACAAAATACTCAACTCAAACTCTGTTGTTAGCTCAGTAACTATAATTTTTAATTAAGCGCAATCTGAAATAAAATCCCAGTAGGGTTTGACAATATAAGGGTCAGTGGAAAGCCTATCTAAGCAAGTTTTGAAAAATCACAATAACCAGAAAGGCTGACATTACCAGACATTAAAGTCTCAAAGGTAAGAATGGCATAAAAACTGGGACAAAAGTACAATATTAAAACAATATTATTCCCCCAAACAGACTAAAGTATATATAAGACAAGGCCGGCATTTTAAATTTTGGGAGAAAGGAAAGATTTCTCAACAAATTATGCTGGGATAATTAATTTTGTCAAAAAAAAGTCAAGTTATACTTCCCAAACCAAACATCAAAATAAATTACATCTAGATTAATAATGATCAGGTATAATATGGGTGAATATTTATATTCATAACACATACTGATATTTATAGAACATTTCTAAGTTTAATGTCAAAGGCAAAAAGCCATACAGAAAATAAACAGTAATTTTATTACATAAAAGTAAAAATGTCATAAATGTCCTAAAACTCTGAAAACAAGATTAAAGCATAAAAGAAACAGGGAAAAGTATTTGAAATATACAGAAAAGTACTTCATCTGTCATTACAAATCAGAAAGAAAAAGTCAAATATCCAATAGAAAAATGCACAAAAGACATAAAACTTATAAAGCATGTACACTCTTGGATGCAACAATTTTACTTCGGAACTGGTCTGGGAAGTGGGATGGGCAGGTTAAGTGCTTGAATGCAGGTATACTGGCCGCAGCTTTATTTATAATGGTGAAAAAAATGTAAAGAACAAAACCAAAAGTGACAGGAAACACTTAGATCTAACAGAAGAATAAAACATCACTAAAAAGTACGTTACATAGAATATATATGACTTGAGAAAATGTTAATGGTATGTTAAGTTTAAAAAGCAGGTTAGTTAATTTATTTAACAACACTTAGATAGCATTTTTAAGTCATGGGTCCCATTCTAAACACTGTACAAATACTAATCCTTACAATAACAACTCTATGAGATAGGTGTTGCTTTCCCAATTTAATAAATGAGGAACCCAGGACATCAAGAGTTCAAGTAACTTACCCAAGGCAGAGCTAGGAGTCAAACCCTACCTAGCTAGTCAAAAAAGCCTCTTACATTAAAAACAAAAACAAAAGGACACATTGAAAAAGAGATCACGAGAATAAATATTTAATGTTAACAATGGTTTGTCTTGGTGTGGTAGGATAATAGATTACTTTTATTTACTTTGTAATTTTCTGTTATTTTTCTGAATTTTCTGTAATGGACATGTACTACTTTACACAAAGAAAAAAGCTATTAAAAAGAAAAATCCGGCCTGTGAACCAAAGGGTCACCAGTTTGATTCCCAGTCAGGGCACATGCCTGGGTTGCAGGCCAGGTCCCCAGTGGGAGGCATATGAGAGGCAACCCATACAATGACGTTTCTCTCCCTCTCTTTCTCCCTCCCTTCTCCTCTCTCTAAAAATAAATAAATAAAATCCTTTAAAAAATCCTTCTAACTCAAATCAACTAGACATGGTTTTAAAACCCTGTCCAAGTCATCTGTCATTTTTTGAGGCTATAAATAGGTTCTTTCTACTTCTAACCCCATTTTATCATTTAAATGAAGCCATCATTTAAAAAAAAAAAATCACTCCTGGAGTATTCAAATGTTTTAGTGAAAGACTGTTCCTTTCAGTCCTCCTTAATGGAAACATTTTCTAAGTTATTTCCACAATATAATGTCATTTACATGTTAAACAGAAAAGGGTCAAACTGTTTTTTTAAATCTAGAAACTTCAAAATTCTTTTATATATGACTATCTTTAGCAGATACTATACACTGATAACCTGTGAACACAATAAAGCTTTCGTCTGGAAATTGAGATCAAGAGCAGTCAGTAATACAGCTTATTTCCATACCTCCAGTATGAAATTTTCCAAACAAAGGCTAGATTAAGCAGACACACCAAGAGGAAGAAAACATTCCCTGCCACTGGGAGATGGCAATTCATTTAGGAGAAAAATATTTTAAAGGACTAAACAAATGATTCAGTGGGACAAGGCATTAAAAGGGATAGCTGGGAGTGAGAACGGAATTCAGAGGCAAATCTAGCTTTAAATTCATACAAGAGCTACAAAAGGGTGACAGATGTACCATTTTTGGATCAGCTAGAAGTGAAAGAAATCATTGTATCCTAAAAGCCAAATAATGGTTCCTTCATGTAAAATAGTATATCCATATTCAATAAATATTTATTGAGCAACTACTATGTGCTAGACACTGTTTTAGGCTTTAGAAACACAACAGTGAACAAAGTTCTTATCATCAAGAAGCATGGCAGTTGGGGAAACGGTAAGTCAAATAATAGATAATAAAATACCAGGCAGAGATAAGTGCTGCCAAGGAAAACACTAGAGCAGCGGAAAGGGACACAGTGTGAGAGAACAGGGTTCTTAACTAGGATAGCCTGAGAAGCTGCTGGAGCAGGCACTTGAATAAAGTGAAGGCCTGCGCGAATGCAACATCTGGGGGCACGGTACAAAGTGACCGAGATGGGAGTGAGCTCACTGTTCAAGGAGAAGCGGGGGGCCGGTGTGGCTAAATCACGGGTCAGCAGGGCCGTGACGAGGACAGTGCATGGAGCGCCTGGCAGGGCCAAGATCACAGGTCCTGCAGACCACATGAGGCACTGGGATTTTAGCTCTGTCATGAAAAGTCAATGGACAGTTCTGAGCAGAGATTTGATGTGATCTGACTTACATTTTAAAATAACCACTCTAGTCAGTCAGTATGTAAAGGATACTAGTTGTTCTGCAGGAATGTCATCAGCCATTTTGGGGGGTTGTGGTAGAAGTCCAAGCAAGAGGTAATTGTGGTTCGGACCAGGTTCAGAGTCACAGAGGAAGTGATCCTGCTTCTCTACGCAAGCCAACCAAAAACACCTCATCAGTGCATACAGCTGGCCCTCTGTGTCCGTGGATTACCAGTGGAAGATCAAAGACGTTACAGGCATTTAAAGAAACAATCTGCACACAAGTGGACCTGTGTTGTTCAAGGATCAACTATATAAACCCCAGAGCAAGGATGCAACAAGAAGCACTTGGCATTGTTTCTGTGACATTCCTGCCAGAGAGCACAGTCTGAATCTAGTCATGTGGAAACACGGGACAAACCCACACTGAGGGACACTCTATAACATAATTGGCCTGCAATTTTCACAAGTGTGACGGTCATAAAATGCAAGGAAAAGCTGAGGAACCAATCCAAGGTGAAGGAGACTAGAGAGAAATAAGATGTGTGATGCATGATTAGATCCTCTCGCTACAAAGGACATTGTTGGGACAACTGACAAAACCTGAATGGGGTCTGCAGATCACACAGTAGTGCCGTGTCATTGGGAATTTCCTGACTTGATGATTATGTTGTGTTTAGGGAGCAGAATGTCCCTAGTTGCAGGAATTACACGTTAAATTATTTGGCAGTGATAGGTTGTCATCATTTTGGCAACTTAATTTGAAATGATTCAAATACTGGTAACTTTACAATGGAAGTGAATACTTTGAGATTATCCCAGTTGCTACTCACTAGAGTCTAAAACTATTTCTGATGATCAAGTTCAACTAAAATAAAATGCCAATTAACCTAATACACTTACTTCTAGTGTTTTTGGTGAAATTATCTAGACTAATTGGGAAGGATCTCCAGAGTGTATCAACCAAATGGTATTATTTCAGCAACCTATGAAATAGAGATCAGTACTTTGTTTACACATATTTAATATAAAACTTAGTAATTCAAGTAAAAGCATTTAGAATTTCACTTCAAAATGGTTATATTATAAAATCATATTTTTTAGAGATCTAAGGAATTTGGGGGCTCTCATTTTACAGATGAGAAAACTAAGGCCCACAGAAGTTACAGAACTTGCTTAAGATCAAAGTTCCAAGTAAGATCAGAGCCAGAGCTCTTTTTGCCTTTCCCTTCACCCAGCGCCAGGTGGTACTGTGCTGTACTGTTTTCCTTCCGACGATAGCTATACCTCTATCCCAACATATAATGTGATATTGTCACACTTCCATCAAGGGAGAGGGTCTACGTCCTCTCCCATTAAACTTGGGCAGAATATTCCAATTGCCTCGATCAACAAAATGTGAAATTAATACTGGATGATTTCCAAAGCTAGGTCGGACAAGGCATTATGGTTTTTACTTGGCTTGCTCTCTTTCTCAGAGCACTTGACTCAGGAAGCCCAAACTATGTCCTCAGTTGACAGCCAACACCAGCCTCCAGACACTGAGGGAACAAGTCTTCAGGTGATCCCAGGATCCAGTCTCTGGACCTGAGGCCTGATATCCTGGAGCAGAGATAAGCCATCCAGGCTGTCTTGTCTAAACTCCTGACTCACAAAAACTATGAGATATATAACAGAGGCAGATGCTTTCAGGATACCATTTGCTGCCTTATAAATAAATAAGCTAGTCAATAAATATGTGTGTGATCAAACAAACATTGCCAAGCCAAAAAAACTGGATGTTCACTTAGCTTACCATTCAGGGGGCACCATGCTTCCATCCACATCCCAGAACGTGTTTTTGCCGTTCATTTCAGTAGTGTATATAACCCATCGGTGACGGCCTGAGTGGAAAGGTTGACATTTAGACAGATGTGAGAAAATAGACAACCTTAAAAAACAAAACAAAATATAATTGCATAATATCAAAGAAGACAACCTTTTCATTAAGATAAGATTTTTGTGTCCTTAAGTAGGAGAAATGTTAAAGGAACAGCGCCCTGGTTCTAATAGTGAAGGCAAGCTCCAGGAAGCGTATGGCAAGCTTTAATCAACAGCCTGGCAGCTGCCACAGCACAATCCCTGCACAAGGACTAAGACCTACTCTGTGGGTGAGGCTTGGGCCTTTCCCATGGTGGAGAACCCTTGCTTCCACCTCTGCCAAGAAAGCAGCGGAGAGGGTAGAGCAGTGTGTTCCCAGCTGGTCATTGTATTCAAGAGAAAAAGCACTCCTCCTGAAAATGGGACAGCAGAAATGTATTCACAGCAATCGTACTTGCATTATATGTTTCTGTACAAGTATTTTTAAGTGACCACCAGAGATCTTTTCAAGAATTGGTAATTATACATAATAAGCAAACTGTATAAATGATGGTTAGATTAAACAGGACAGTTCATGTCGTCAATATACAATAATATGGCTGCATTCTTTAACACATTTCTATGGAGTGCTTGGAGGCCTAAATGCAACTTACAAGACTGTTTTTATTGGGTCATTAAGGTGGGCAAAGACCCGTATTCCAATCAGAACTTTGTCACTTATTGTCAGTGAATATTAGGCAAATTTTATGAGCCTCAGTTTCTTTGTTAAAAGTGAACAATTATACCTACATCTGAAGGTTGCTGTGAAAATTAAGTATCACACACATACACCTATTTCAGCATCAGACATGTAAGTGCATAATAAATATTAATTCCTTCAACCACTTCCTCACTGCCCCTGCCCCACCAACAGGGAATACTGAATTAATCTCTATAATGGATTTAAACCAATAAGCAAAGGGTAATCTGCATTTGCTATAGATTTTCCTAGGTAAATATAAAATCAACAAATATCAACTAATGCAATTTAAACATAAACACATCTATTTAAAGAAATAAAGATTTTAATCAGGATTTGCTTCTTCTGTTAGAGAAATCACCTTGAGAATAAGTAACTAAAAGTAAACTATAGAAAAAATAGAACATACAAATAAATGGAAGCATATACCATGTTTATAGATAAGAATTAACATCATTAAACTATCCATACCCCAAAGCAATCTATAGATGCAATGCAGTTCTTGTCAAAATATGGCATATTTCACAGAACTAGAACAAATAATCCAAAATTTTATACAGATCTGCAAAAAAACCTGAATAGTATCAGAAATACTGAGAAAGGAGGGCAAAGTTGGGGGGATCACACTACCTGATATCAAACTGTACTACAAGTCCAGAGTAACTAAAACAGCATGGAACTGCCCTGACTGTTGTGGCTCAGTTGGCTGGGCATCATCCCACAAAGTAAAAGGCTGCCAGTTTGATTCCCAGTCAGCGTACATGCCCGGGTTGCAGGTTCAGTCCCCGGTCAAGGGTTGTACGAGTGGCAACCGACTGATGTTTCTCTCCTTCTCTTTCTCCTTCCCTTCCTATCTCTCTAAAAATGAATTCATAAAATTTTTAAAAAAACAGCATGGTACTGTCATAAAAACAGACATATAGATCAATGAAAGAGAATAGAGAGCCCAGAAATAAACCCATATCTATATATTCAATTAATATGTGACAAAGGAGGCAAACATAGATTGGGTTAAAGATAGTCTATTCAAAAAATGATGCTGGGAAAAATGGACAAATACATGCAAAAAAAAAACCAACAAAAAACAAACTAGGCCACCTTCTTACACCATATGCAAATAGAAACTCAAAATTATTTAAAGACTTAAATGTAACACTGAAAACCATAAAAACCCTATAGGAAAACATAGGCAGTAAAACCTCTGACATTTCTCTTAGCAATATTTTTTCTGATATATCACCTTGGACAAGGGATACAAAAGAAAAAAAAATTAACAAATGAGACTGTACCAAACTAAAAAGTTTTTGCATAGTAAAGGAAATCATCAAAAAAACAGAGAGACAACCTACTAAATGAGAGAACATATTTGCCAATGATATACCTGATAAGGGGTTAACATTCAAAACTTATAAAGAACTCATATTAATGAACACCAATAAATGCATGAAAACTATAATCCAATGAGTCATGGGAATGTGAAGGCAGGTGGGGGAAACCTTGGGTAAGATTTCACAAAGTTATGCCATGGCAGTAGAGCTGGGCCTTAACAATCTAGCAATAAACATAATACATCAAAATTTTAAATGTGTATACTCAGACTCAGCAATTCCACTTCCAGAAATTTATTCTTAGAATATTAAAACAAGTGTGATAAAGATACAAGCAAGTGCACTGAAGCACCATTTCTAGTAAAAAAGAGTTGAAGGCAATCTACATGTCTATCAATAGTAAAGTGTTTGAAAAATAATGATGTTGCTATTAAAAAGAGTGCTGTGAAAAGAAATTTTAAATAGGAAAACACAAATATGCAAACAAAAAAGAGAATCCTGTAGGTTCATCCAACTAATATGGAAAAATGGTCATGGTTTTTATGTAAAAATATTTGTTTATGCACAACATGCATAACAGAATCCCATGAAATAAAAAGGATATGTAGCTTTATTCAGTGATTCAAGAAGCTCCTTGTATATTATGAAAAATAATCAAGTCTCAAGCTCACTTCCATTATTCATATCAAAAAAATACTGTACTCACCAAAAAATTGCTTGTTATCTTCATAGTATTTGTTTCCATATTTGTCTTCACCCACTAATGTACCAACCCTCACATCATTCACCCTGTGAATATCCAAAAGAAAAGACATTTTACAATAATTCTTCGTTCAAAACACAAATGTAAATAAGGCGAGAATACCAACTTTCAGCAACAAAGGCAATTTAAAAAAATGCAGAGATGCCTGGGGATAATCACTAGTTGCAGACTTCTAGCCTTCATGTCCAGGCCCACACCACCCCCTGCTGAAGTGTCAGTTTTCAGGTAAGAGCTCTAGAATACCTGCTCATGTTGCCCCCAGTACCAAGTAGACAGCACAAAAAGATACTCTGACCCAACATATATACTTAAATTACACCAAATATGTAGATACAAATTACAAGACTACTTTTTATCTACTATTAGGACACTGGAGTTAACAAAAACTTTCACGAAATCAGGAAGCTGAAGTATTTCAACCTAAAATGATATGAATGTCCCGGCTTTCATTCCTGGGTTTTCAACTGGCTTCCACGGACGATGCTGCTAGTCGGACTAAACGACTGGAGGGACTAGTAGGGACCATTCACTCGTCTTGTTTAACGCCTTAAGGTACAGAGGAAGAAACAAGGCCAGCGGAGGGGAAAACGCTCCCAAGGTCACACAGTGGTTGCCTGTACTCATTCCTGTCGAGGAAACAGGGCAGGGTGAAGCCTCGATGCCCTCGCCTCCACTTTACAGCTCTGTCCCTAGAGCTGGCTTTGGCCTTGTCTCTGGGAGACAGATCCCTGGACGAAGACTTCGGCCCGGGGAAAGAAAGGTAGAGATTGGGCTGGTTGTCCTTGACCAGAGCTGCGGTTTCTCCAGGGTGACCCAAGCCCGAGCCCCTTCCCAAGAACCCAGCCAGGGCGAGTCCAGTCCAGAGGCTAAGAGCACGGCCCTCGTCGCCTGCCTACCTGAAGAGCATTCGTAGATAGCCTCGGAGGCCACCGTGGCCGCTAACCTGCTGCAGCCCCCGCTTCAAGACCTGCACGTACTCCATCTTGCCCCGCAGGCCCCGCCTTTCGGGTGCACCGTTCAAAAGGCACCCGGAGGAAACGAAAACTCACTTGCAGGGAGCCTAGCGCAGAAAGTTCCCCCGGCGCGCGCGCATCCGACGAGGAGGTGGTTCTGCGCGTGCGCATACCTGCAGCGCCCCTGCGTGGCCTCTTCCCTGTTTCCGAAGTTGCGCTTGGTTTCCTTAGGAAGCAAAGGCGCAATAAACTTTTATCGGTTCTCAGAAGTTGCATTCAGAATGTGGGACAAGTGCTGGAAAACTCACCTAAGCTAGGCTTCCCAAGGTGAAAGCCTCCTCCTTCGGGGGCCTCAGGTTTATCTCAAATGATCGACTCAGACTACTTCAAAATCCTTTCTAGGGCCAAGATTTTTTAGAAACAAGATACCATTAAGGAATTCAACATTGAGCACATAATGGCACTGAGTACATATACTAGCGTTTTGTAGGAATAGCGAGGAGGAATGGAAAAGTATATGATTAAGTATCTGCTCTCAAGGATTTGGTGATTTAAGTTGCAAGGCTAAAATTCAAAAATTTGAAATTATTAGAAAATTTGTGCATGATATATAATAAAGGAAAAAGGGGAAAATGGTCATGGAGATATAAATATATATTTACATATAAATAAAATAAATATAAATATATATATTTCTTCTATTATGTGAGCTCCTGCCATCACACAATTGTCACCCAGGAACGGAGCAACACAGTAACGAAGTCCCTAAAACTCTTTCCCCCTCACCCAGAGCTGCCAGGAGTGGGGCGGGGGCGGAGGCTGAGTCAGGCCACTGGCCTCAGCTCCTGTGCTTGAAGGCGCTGTAAACCTGCTGCAGCACGTGGCGCAGGCCCTGGTCCTTGGGCGTCCCCCTGGCCGGGGAGATGAAACAGGTGTGCCCCTGGAACCTTACCAGGTCAGGGGCACCTTTGTACAACTCCACCAGGAGCAGCATCCCATGAAGGATGTCATTAGTCAGGAAGCTGTTCTGGACGTTGGCCATTTCCATGCCTTTGGGGATGCTCCAAGTCACCGCAAGCCTCTCATCCCATGACTGCCCTGTTCTGCACATCAGACTTTGCAGTGTATATTTAAAATTTTAAATAAAGGATATTAAATGAGTATTTCAAAATTTTCATTGGCTATTTAATATGCTTTAAGACCTATATTCCTTGTTCCATCAATTTGGAACATCCTCTCGACTCTCAACTATTTACGACGGGACATTTAGCACCTCACTTTCTTCACCCCTTCCTATCAACCTTGCCCTTCCAAACTGGTCAACATATCATTTCTTTCAGAAGGTGAGTTTTTAAGATTTACACTCAAATTTTAACTTCAAGTTTTCGTAATTGTCTATGACTTTAAAAACTGAAACAATATTTCTTGAAAGAATCAAGTAATATGACTAGACCCAGGGGATTTAATTTTATGCTACTGAATCTTCGACCCCAAAGGAAAAACTTGCAAAGGATCAGATTTTCTTAGACTCTTATCAATTGCTCAAAATCATGCTGCATTTGAATTTGCTTTATGTTGAACCCTGACTTTCATGCATTTTTTTGGTTCCTCTATTTGTAAAGAAAGTCCATCTGAAATATTTCTATGTATCTAAAAACTTTTTAAAAAACAACCACATTATCATCACATTAAGAAGAGAATTCCTTCGTATTAAATATTCAGAGGACAGTTCAAAAGTCCCCAATTTTCTCATATTTTTAGTTTTCCCAAATAAGGTCATTTTGTAACTGGTTGATTTTCATTTAAATTTTATGAGGAACCCAAAAAACTCCAAAGTTTATTTATAAAAAATTGTGTACTTATTCTAAAAGTACTCTCCACTTGATGCAATACACCTGAGATTTTTTTCCCCACTGCTCAAAAGTTTTTGAACTCGTCGATTTTGATGCCTTTTAGTGCTTCTGCCGTTTTTTGTTTCACCTCTTCCACATTGGCAAGACGGTTCCCTTTGAGGACATTTTTCATCTGGGGAGACAAAAGTTGCTCAGGGAGAGGTCAGGTGAATAGGGAGGTGGGGCATGGGGGTCATGCTGTTTTTGGTCAAAAATTGCTAAACACGCAGTGCGGTGTGTACAGGTGCATCATGAAATGGTCAAATGCATTGAGACTTAAGAAAACAAAACTCTCTCTGAAGCTGAACACAGCCTTTCACACCAGCTAGTGCACTGATACAGACGGGTTCCTCTAACACCCACCTGGCAGGGGAAGCCTGTCTACAATGGGCCTGCCCTCCAGATGGTAATTTCAAGTTTTTTAGGGGGTCTCCCTCTTGTAATCTATGGGTTTCTTCCATTCTCCATCCCCCTTTTTTTGTCCTTCCAATTTATTTGCTTAAGAAATGGGCAATTTCTCTTGCAGTTTCCCCAAGTCTGTGTTCTTCCATCCCCCATATGTCCTGTATATTAGCAGTTAAACCTACGTGCTTGACCAGATGGGTGGGTTTCTTTTTGTTGTTCAATTTATTTCATAGATGATGATATCCTTCCCTCAGGAAGCACACATAGTGTCTGCTTGTTTCACTTTTTAAAAAAAAATTTTTAGCAGCCATTGATGAGCACTGCCTACACTACAAATTCCTAACCTCCTTTAAATTTTCGTTTTACTTGTAATCATTGAGATAGTCACGTGCAGTTGTAAGGTTATACAGAGATCCTATCCTGTTTATACTTTTCTGTTTCTCTTTATGGTGAAACATTTTGCAAACTGCATCACAACGAAGATACTGACATTCATACAATCCACCAATCTTATGCAGAAGTCTCCAGTTTCAGTTGTACTCGTTTGTGTGTGAGCACGTTTAGTTCTATACAATTTTATCACAATGTCAAGTTCCTGTATGCCACCAGTCAAGATACTGAACAGTTCTATCACAAGGGTCTCTACTGCCTTTTAATAACCATGCACTTCTCTCCCTGCACACCTCTCATCTACCTGTCTTCCTCTATTAAAGACCTCCTGACTTGATTCTTCAATATTATCTTTTCTTACTATTTCCTTGTCTTTTGTTATACTTCCAGCATGAGTTATTCAACCACTTTATCTTCCAACCCTTCTAATGAATTTCTTTGGCTATTAATCTCCAGGGGATGTTCCTTGCTCCAAATTTTCCTTTTCAAAGCATCCTGTTCTCATTCAATGGATACAACATATAGTTTCTTTCAAAGTATTAGTGAGGGTGTTTTTATGATCCTTGCATTCTATCTGCCCACCTCACCATGTGTGATCTAAATATCTAGTCCTGGCTCTATGCTCATATTTAATAGAAGGCACTAAAGAGCTGAATGGAAAACCCATGTTTACATACACATGACTTGAAAATTAGTGGGCTTCCCTGAGGTGAAAAAGTAGGAACCAGGCTTCTTGTCCAGGAACAACCAAAAGTGAGTGTCTGGAGAACATTTCTCTGGAGGCAATTAGTTTCTCTGAGGAAAAAATTCTAGCAAAGAAGCCTATACCTGATAGCCAGCACCCTGGGAACATGCTTAGGGAGCCCACATTCAGAATGCAGATTTTCTCTTAATCCATGTTTTCAACCCTACACCTAATCCAAGCCTTCTATTATCCCTGGTATCCTGTAAGTCCTACGATCTCCCAGTTAAGTTTTTAAAGGGCATCAACCTTGTTTGAAAAGGGGGAAAAAACAGAAAGTGGTCACCTGACTGAAGTGTAGAGAAAGATGTAATTCAATGATTCTGTACACAGACTTGCAATCAATCCCTTCTTTTCTATGTGCCAAGCACCATCTCTATATGTAAGCACCTGGCTCCTCCAGATACTGAGCATCTTTTCTGACTACTGCAAGGTATACTGGCTTCTCTCACTGCATTGCCTTTTACAGGTACTCAGATTAGAGCTTACATGATTCTGGTGCTGCTACGTCAGTCTTTCTCGACATGGATTTTGATTTCCAAAAACTTATTGAACTCCCTTGTCCTTTGATTTCTTCTCATCTTATTTGTCATTATGTGGTTACACTCTACTGTCATTTTACTGACATTTCAGGAGAGAAAGAAAATAGTTATTTGTGATATTTAGCTAGACGTTTTCAAACTCAATTATATTAATCCTAAAATAATTGATATGAAAATGTTTTCCTTTCCTGAAGTACTTTAATAATAAATCTTACTGGAAATTTCTTAACAATGTAACAAACAAAAGGATAACAACAAACAGAACTCTGAAATCAATTATACTGTCAGGAAACAGAAATTTGTAGTGCAGGTCACATTTTAATATAGTTTTAAAAACACTTCCAAATATAACTACAAATTTAATCAGGACAAATACCTGCAAGAAACGTGTGTTAATTGGCCATTAGTACATTATTTCTAAATCCTTGGCTTACTTCTTAGGGTTTATAAAGGCATAAATCTACAGATTTTCTCATTTGTGTACTTCATAGTAAATGTAGTTTTTTCCAGTTGATATTATAAATAAACCTATTGACAAAAATCATGTTTAAACAGGGAAAAAAGTTTCCCTTAATAAGTTGGTAAAGATTGTAAATTGATACTTTTAAACTTTAGATTTCCTATAAAGTAGTACTTAGTAAAATCCACAGCCTTCCACAAAATTCAGCTTCTCTTCTATTGTAAAAAAATCTTTATAAAAAGTGTACCCTGAGTGCAATAAAATCTCCATATCTCTTAAAAAAAAAACCCAACCAACGAATAGACATATCAAAATAATACATCATGAAATTAGAGCAAAGAAATATTTAACAGTATCAGGTTTGCTAGCGAAAACATTACTGTGGAAGACATCCAAGGAGTTTAAAATGCTTTGTTGTAGTAGTAATAAGGCTTTAGGCTGATGCTCGTACTAAAACAGTCTTTCCCTCTTCACAGTGAAAAAAAAAATAAAATCAGTGCATATTAAAATTTTTTAAATTTTAAGAATCATCATCAACTGCTTTAAAAATCATTGTTTCACTCACCTTGAAAACAGACTGGCTATGATAAACACATTATTTAACAAACTGTGTATTTCTAAACACCTAAAAGAAACTGGCTAACACCCATGGAAGGGTCAGCAAACTATACAACGTAGATCAGAAATGAGGGAGAGGACAGATGCTTTTTGTGGAATGGGAGAGCAACACTTTAATAATCTATTTTGCAATACCGAAACATTTGGGCTCAGTCTCTACTACTTTTAAAACACAGCAGTAAGCCAAAAATATTAAAACATGAACCCTATTTTATTCTCAAAAACCATTTTCTTCTACATATGTAAATAAAAAGTGCTTGTAACTAATCACATACACCACTAAAAATGTCAACTCTTAAGATCACAAAGGACCTTGGTCTCACTGCCAGCAATGAGAGTGGTATATGCTAAGAGTGCCATAATATTTACAAAGGACAAAAAAAAAAATAAATATATATATATATATATATATATATATATATATATGTATGTATGTTCAACTGTTATTTCCTCTGGCTCTAATGTTGTCATTACACCACTGCATATAAAATATCTTTCGATACTGTAATTAAAACTGATTATAGAAGAGTAAAATACAGCACATCCTCAGAGATTTCTGACAATTAAGTGTTTCTACTAGTTCATAAGGAAATTAAACATGAATAGAACACAATTCTGAAAAAAAAAAAGACTTATTTATTTGTTTTACCAAATAAGATATAATGAGAGATCTTAGTTTAGATAGTTAAAAGGTGACGGCTTTAGGTATCATCTTAACCTAGAATAAATTCATAGTATTTCTTTTTTAAATAAGACAGGTAGGGAAATTCTAATTTCTGCTATCTCCCAGTCACTTTGAAAATTCTTCTTCAGAAAGTCAAAATAAAAATACTTTGGTTTTTGGTTATTCTTTAAAGTCAAAATTTCCAGATGCCCTGGAAACAATGAGTTCAATTTGGTGTCTTCTTGTGTTCTGTCTGAGAAAGAACAATAAGTTTACACTGAGCTCAGCTTTCAGATGCTATGACCAATTATTTGTGAGTTATAATCTGCAGGTTCCATTTTTAAAATATGTGGGATTACACTGTCAATTCGCACATTGCCAATGAGACCTTTAAAAAACAATTCTTCAGTGATGGTAGCATTCATCAATCTCAAAGCTGGCAATCTGAGTAGTAGTCTGGACAACCTAAAAATAAATAAAAGGGGTTGGGGGGGGAGAGCAAGGTTATGAATCAAAGAGAGATTTAGTAGAAAAATGTAATTTCTGAATGTATATTATTTGTTGTCTAACTTAATAAATGTAATTTTCAAAAGTTAAAATAAAAACCATAGTATTCCAGCCTTAGAGTGTATGACAATCAACCGGATATAAAAGCAGTCTGTCAGACTTTATAGTTCAGCCTTGCTCTTAATTGCAATGCTGTTAAACCATGGTTCAAGTTATAACATTTAAGAATGGCTTAGGAGCTCCTTTGAGAATGTAAGGACAGCTACATTTTGTGTTGTTAGTGCACAGAAGGCTCAATGGTAATAGTTTTGGTTTTGCTTTACAAAAAACTACTGAGAATGGTAAAGCAGGCAATAGTTGTTGTTAACTGGGAAGAGCACAGAATAAGGAATCAGTATCACTGGATTCAAATATTGATTCAGTTATGTGAACGTGTGTAAGCCTCTTACTCCATCTCTCTCACAGCGCTTTTGTAAAAATTAAGGAAATGACCTCCGCCAGTTTCTGTGCTAGTGACATTCTCAAATTTTGGCAGGATAATGTCTTATATGAAAGTACATTATACACTGAAAACTGCTATCCAAAGATAATTTATTATTTTTAAGTAACTAGGAATGTAAGAAACAGAAAAAATTCCAGACATCAAAGTACCTAAAGCCTAATGGAATGGAAGTCAGCAAGCAGCTCTATGTCTACAGATGAAAAAATATAACTACTCTATTTGCTTTATAATGATGCATAACACAACTTTAGAAACTTTAAAAACCCTGAAAAAACAGCCCTGGCCTGTGTGGCTCAGTGGATTGAGCGCCTGCTTGCAGACAGAGCATTGCTGGTTCAACTTCTGGTCCCAGGAAGGAAGGGGAGGAGGAGGGATGGGGCGGGGTGGGAGCATGCCTGGGTTTTGGGCCAGGTCCCCCGCTGGGGATGTGTGAGAGGTAACTTGATCGATTGATATTTCTCTCTCACACTGATGTTTCTCTCCCTCTCTTTCTTCCTCCTCTCCCCTCTAAATAAATAAAATCTTAAAAAGAAAACCCCAAATATCCTGAAACAATTATGGCAAAGCCAACAACAAAATAAAAAACTTGTGGTATGTTTATCCTTCTAGTTTAAGGTCCTGCACTCCAAATGCTTGAAGCCAAATGAAATCTGCAGTTCAAGGATTAAGCGATCTTTCTATAGTCATGTATTGTACTCCTCAAATTACTCAATTCCTTTTGTTCCCACCAGTTGAGGTGCATCCACAGAACTGGTAGGATGCAGGATAAGAAAACTGGTTACATAAACTAAGACTGATTTTCATGATGAAACTTGCTTATAACTATTATTTAATATATGTAAAATATTATTATATGTGAAATGCTCCTTTTACTAGCTTGAAGTATGTTAAATAAATAATGTCAGTAAACACATTTATATAGCTCTTGTTATGAAACAGGCACTATTCTGAGCTCTTTACATATATTAATTGATTTAATTGTTATTCTGCTTGCAAAATGTAGACACTGTTACCTCCACTTTACAGGTAAAGAAACTGAAACAGAGAAGTTAAAATACCTGCTTTTGGTAAGGTCAGGAGTCAGACCTAGGTACTCTGGCTCTGATGGCCATGTGTTTACAATTCTGTCCTTCTTAAAATGTTGAATTGATCTTATAAAAAATTTTTTTCAAAGGACGATGGCAACAAATATGTTGGTAGAAATATCATTAGCCAAATTTCAAAGTTAACTATAAAAATCTAATGGTATTTTTCATTCACTCCCCCTAACCTTTACTAATAAAATCCATTATTTCATCTGAAGAAAATGAAGAGTTTGAGTGCTACTGTTAGACTACCTGGGTTCAGCCAGGCTCTGCCATTTATTGTGTGACCTTGGACAAGTTATTTAATCTGTGTGCTAAAGTCTCCTCTATATAAAAGGTAAGAACTAGATGAAATATTACATGTAAAGCACTTCCAATAATGTATATTGATTGTAACAGCAGTATCTCCTTAAAAGGTCAAGGTTGACTAGAGCATTTTAAATTATTCTTAGGGTAGAAAATAAAGAAATAATGGATTTGCAAAAAAGTTTTAAGATGAATTTAATTAAATAGTATTTAACTCGTAGATACCTGTAGGTGTCATCTGGATATGTTTTGGTTATATAATCCTGAAATTCCACGTAAGCCTTTTCCTGAAATTTCTCAATCTGTTCCATGTTTTCTAGGCCTGGATGATCTGAAACATGAAAGAACACGTTATTACCCTACTTCTGAATGCTCATTTAAGAAGGCATCTAGAGTGAAGATGGAAGGGGGTGAGAAGAACAGTTTGGTCAAAAATGGAGCTTCATCATGTGTGTGGCTCTTTCCGAGAATATTACTAAATACCAGGCATTACACTTTAAGCCCTTAAGACAATGTTATCTCATACACATATTCTGATATCTAATTTAAAAAAATGAGACCAATGGGCTCTACTAAAATAGATAATATTTTAGTTTATCCCAAAAGTGACAGAAGGAATTTTGCTCATTTTGCTTTTAACAGGAAAAAAAAATGACTTAGCTTAATTAAAAAGGTATTTTTAATCCAATGAAATATTTGCAGATTATATTCTATATTTTTTATTTAAAAAACCCACTATTGTTAGGTAAAAAGGTACTATGAACATCATCTTTATCAGAAAAATTATAATATAGAAATATAAAATAATCTATAGACATTGCAATGGTCACTATAAAATTTCACAGAAATGGAATTATAAAAATTACGTCCAACTTAAGAAATATTAAAAAATATAGAAAGCTTTGCCTTGCCTGAAGAGAATTAAAAAAAGTAATGAAAATATGGGGAATATTAATAAATTAAAATTATATTATACCTTTAACTTCAATCTATGTTCTTTTAATTTTAAGGAAAATGAAAATAGCACATTGGTTGTAATAAAAATGAAGATACATGTTACTGACTTATATGAAACATTGTAAGAAACAGTACAAAAAAAGCTTTAATTATCTTACTGGTATCACTAGGATAAGAAGCAGCTTCTCTAAGATAATTTTATTATGATACACAGGAATAAAAATACATGCCAAAATGAGAATTACAGAACCTAAAAGAACAATTTTTCTTATTCAATAATCGATCATTGAACTTCGTGGCACTTCACCACCTAGAAACAGGCAGGAAAATAAAGAGACCCTTTTCTCATTTATTGGTAACTCTAATAAGATGTTTGGAAATTTATCACGTTAACACAACACTCACACCTCATTTTGTCTTTTAATGATGCCTAGCAAAATAAACCTTAGAATTCAAATGTAGATTAACAACAGAACTAAAGGTCAATGATGGCACTTCATTAATTTCAACTTTCCTTTTCGTACCCAGGTAAGTGTCTAACAGTCATAAAATTCACTGATTTAAAGTGTATAATTCAACGGTTTTAAATTACTCAGAGTTGTGCAACCATCACCACAATCTAATTTCAGAACCTTCTTGCTGCTCCTTAAGAACTCTGCACCCAGTTGCAGTCACTACGTATTCTCTCCTCTCCTTAGTCCCTGGAAATTACTAATCTTCTATGTCTGTAAACTTAGCCTATTCTAGACATTCCATATAAATGGAATCATATAATACGTAGCCTTTTGTAACTGGCTTCTTTCACATAGCATACTGTTTTCAAGGTTCATCCATGTTGTAGCATGTGTCAGAACTTAATTTTATAGCTGTATGATATTCTATTGTTTTTTAAAAAAATTTTGTTGTATTTTTTCCACCACCATTTAGTCCCCTTACACCCTCCTCCCCCAACAATCACCACAATGTTGTCTGTGTCCATGAGTCCTTTTTATTTTTTTGTTCAATCCCTCTACCCCCTAACCTCCCACCCCCACTAGCTGTCATCTTGCTCTCCCTCTATGAGTGTCTATTTTCCTTGTTAGTTCAGTTTGTTCAGCAGATTCCACATATGAGTGAAATGATATATTTGTCTTTCTCTGTCTAGCTTATTTCACTTAGCATAATGTTTTCCGGTAACATCCATACTGTTGCAAAGATCTATTGTATGATTATATTACATTTATTTATTCATTTGTTGATGAACACTTGGATTGTTTTCACTTTAACTGCATCATTTTATATTCCCACCAACAGGGCATGAGGGTTCCAACGTCTCCACAATGTCAAACATTTATTTTAAGAAAAATAACTGTATTTTACATAAGAAGTCAACACTTATGTACCTGGACTGAAGAGTACTATTGCCTTCAGGTAAGCATATTCATATCCATCAATGCAAAGTTTAACCATGCTGTTACAAAACTCCTGGAGTTTGAAGATGTGCTCCATCAATAATTTTCTTCTTTCTGTTGACATTTTGTCTTCAATTAAAAACAAATAAGCAAACAAAAGCTGCTAGTTTTCTGCTAAAATGTGTTGACTATTTTTAACCAACATATTGTCTCCTCACTAATTTCCAGCTTTAAATATAAGCAATCTATAAATGTTTAAAATCCAATTATCTCTGAAACTAATTAGTGATCTTTGGACATTGTTCATTCAAGGAAAAAAAAAAAAAAAAAGCAAAAGCTTAGTACAAAAAACCCTAAATGTAATGTTTCCTTCAAGATGTACCTTTGAAAAGATAAGCTATAAAGATAATCATCTGAAACTCTGGCCAACCAAAGTTCAAAATATTCAATTTTTGGTAACAGAATTTTATTTATGCTTATACTGACTTAAAAAAATGAGCAAAATCATCTCGATTTTTAAAAGTTACCAACACTACTAAAATAAAAATATTTAGCAAATACAGACCCAAGACCAAAGAAAAAATAAGATAAACTTTTATGATAAATATTTTAATTTATTGTGGAGGGATACGCTTAAAACACATCTGATTAGTCAACCATAACTTTGGTGATGGTAGGCTGTATAACACTGCAAATTTATGAGAGATAAATCAAGATCAGGCATCCACAAATAAAATGGAAACGTAATGCTGCTTTCTAGATCAACTGTTGATGAAATTTTAAGGTCATTTCTCTGCCCTTAAATATAAGGAGGAAGCAGATAATTTAAAAAGCATTTAAAGCAATGGGAAATGGAATATGGTAAGGAAATAAAACATAATTCCCACGTTATAAATTATTCCTAATCTCAAATGACAGTTTTTATTGAGGATGGGGCACATTGTTGGTCAGTCTTATGCCATTCTGAAGGTAAATATTTATAAATCAAGTGACTGCCTGTCTCCTTAAATGAATGAAAGCTGTTAACTACCTTGACATCAAGAAAAAGGAAAAAAAGAGAGTAAAGATTGTTTCAAGACTCTTCAGTACTTTTTAAATAAGAGACTATACCTTGAAGAATTGCCAAAAAAAAAAAAAAAAAAAGTCTTAGAATTCAAAGAGTTACAATGAAAAAAAGGTAGTTTAAAAACTGGTTGAAGAATATATTCTAAAATAATTAATCACTTCTACATAAGCTAGCCCTGGATTCCTTGGTACCTACACCAAATTACAAACATTCACAAAGCCTGGTCAGAAATAGCCAGCCAGGCTTACATATAATTATTTCAATTTTGTTGAGCTTGAAAATACTTAAAAATTTAAATATTCAGAAGTATTTTTTTTCAGTGATCAATGAAATTATCAAAATGTAAAAATAATGTACAGTAAAAAAGATGCTGGTATCTAAGGCATTATCATCAGATATGCAACTTTAATAGCAACACTTTATAAAACTGATATCCCCTCTTATGTCCCAGGAAAGGAAGTAAGGTGCTTTTTACCTTGTTGAAGACTACTGTGAAGGCAATTGACAAATGTTGCTAATATAGTTGCCACATTCATTACTTGCCAGCACTGGGCAAGCCCAAGAGTAAAAAGTTCATTCCAATAAGCTTTCACCAATGATATGCTGTTTTCTTGCCTATTAAAAAAACACGCACACCCAAATTAGATATTATTAAAATTAAAATATATTTTATAAACTTTACAACTGACTCATATTTAAAAGTAAAATACTACTAAAGTACAATTACTCTAGAAAGACTAACTGGGAAGAGACTTAATCAGTTCTGTGTTCTATATGCCTGACAGCACTTAAGCAGAAAGGCTTAGAAATTTAATTAATTAGCTCATTAATCAATCAGCCAATTTATAAGAACAGTTTCAAACTACAGAAGTTGGGGCTTTAATCCCACATTTCATGGAAATAGCATAAATATTGTTTTAAAAAATTAAATGCAAGAGCATGCATTTAAAAACCCTTTTTCTGGTTTTATTTGCTTTAAAGGCTGATAAATACTGTTTTGTTTTGTTTTGTTTTAAGGCAATTAGAATTATTTGATGGTAGGTAAGCAATCAATCAATTTCCTGGGAGAAATAGTTTCTTCTTTAAGTGTGTTTCAAATGAGATATTATCTCTATAAATGAGATAACAAGGAATTTACTAGGAGTAAGGAGGATGAGAAATGTCAAAAGTTCTTTCCTGAATTTCCTCATAAGAAATCTCAGCAGCATGAGAGAATATAAAAAAGTATTAGTAGGTTGAGAGGCCAGGGTTATAAAACCTAGATCATCCACTTATCCATTTGAAATCACCCAAGCAAGTTTCCCAAGTCTCAGACTATTGAGTGATATAAAATGCAGAGACATTATATGTCCTCTATTTACCTCGGTTATTATAAGATGTAAATGTTAAGTATTACGTGAACAGGCCATGACTAAGTATAAAAGTCAGGCACTGTTTGAAGCACTGGAGAAAGAGCAACACACGTGATGGATTAAATCTACCCTCATGAAACAAAAGAGCCATGTAATAAATGTACCATTTTAAATATTTTATATAAATATAACTAACACATATACATATGGTTATACATACATTTAGTTAGTTTCAGGTAGTAAAAATTCTACATTACTATAAAGTAGATTGCTACATCAGAAAATGGGGGAAGGGGGCTTGTATTCAGGTAAGGTGGTTGGGGAAGACTTTACTAAGGGCCTGGCATTCGAGTCACTTGAGGAGAGAAAGGCAGAAAAGAAGCTAAAAAGACAAAATCTAGGGGAATAGTAAGAACAAAGGCCATGCTTGTTGAGGTGAGACCCAGCATGTGGTAGGTACTCATAAAAACTTTGGGGTAAATTATAAATGCTATCCTCCCGTCTTTAAAAAACAAACAAACATGTCATCCTGGCTGGTGTGGCTCAGTGGGTTGAGTGCTGGTCTGAGAACTGAAAGGTCACCGGTCTGATTCCCAGTCAGGGCACATGCCTGGGTGGTGGGCCAGATTCATAGTTGGGAGGTGGGTGACAGGGAACTATTGATGTGTGTCTCTCTCTCCCTCCCTTCTTCCCTCCTTCCCTCTCTCTCTAAAAGTAAATAAATAAAATCTTAAAAAACATGCAACACCTGACTGGTCAGGGACACTGACCTCTTTTCCCTTAGATTGTAAAATTTAAAAAAAAGGTAACAGTCAACACAATAATAGCCACCAGTGTGAATGAATCACAATTATACATTTCTTTTTTTGGTCAGATTGGCAAACAATGTTATTTTTTGGTGTGCTGCAGAATTTTAGTAATTAGTTTATATGTGGCATGAGATGAAAACAGTTGAAAATCACTGCCTTAACATACAGCTCAGAGCTCACTTAAAAAACAAACATTCTCTTACCACATTACTCTCCCAAGGTAGTTTATCATTCCCTGCTCAGTGCCACATATTCATTTATATTTTATACTTATTTCATGCTGTTCTAAATTTATTGGTTTAGGAGTCTGTTTCCTATACCAGATTATAACATTACTGAAGGCAGAGACACCCTTATTCATTTCTGTATCTCTGTCAACAGCACAGTAGGTGACATAGAGAAGAAATTCAGCAAATGAGTGAAGGGGATATAGAACAGAGGAAGTAGCAATTTAGAAAAGGCAGAGTTAAAGAAAGCTGTGGGCATGGACCCTTTTCCTATTAAACAATCTTTAAACCAAAGGTTTCTTTTCTCCAAATAGATTTAAGTTGGTAAAATCATCCTGATAGGAAATAGGTACACACTAATGAAAGGTATTTACATTCTTTTCTTTTTATTAAATCTTTAAAATTAGGTTAAGTCAACATGTTTAACAGAAATCATTTATCAAGTTAAAACCCACAGTCTTCTTTATGACATTACATTTTATTTAAGAATTGGACATACTCAAACAAAAGCTTATATTGCCAACTTAAAATAGTTATAGAAAGTAATTTTTCTCACTGGGAATTACTCAGGTGAAATTTCTAATCCAGGTTGATCACTGTTTCTCATTTAGTATCTGAGAAGAATTGGCTACTTAAAATTTAAAAGTTTCAGTGAAAATAAAATTAGTGTTTTTAAATCTCCATATATTTGCTGACATGAGCACAAACTGTCTCAGCATCTTTTTGGAGAACAATTTGGTAGTACCTGGCAAAAACCTAAAAAATATACCATACCTTCTTAGATGCAGCAGTTTCACTTAAAACAATGTATTTTATAGAAATGCTAACACAAGTAGTTAGTCCTCATCCATCTGATTAATTCAAACTATAAATTATTTAGTAATAAGAAATAGAGTTTACATAGCAGCTACACTAGTAGTTAATTCTAACTGCAAAGAATCTGGTCGCCGTTACACTGAAACCAATTTTCAATACAGATCACAGGGAAATGTGGTTGCCACTACAAAATTATGCTGTGTTATAACTGGAAACCCCAGGCTTTCTTTTTGGTTTCTTAAACATCTGGATTACTTCCACAGGATAATCACACTTAATTTAACAGAAGTACTTAATATCAGTGGTGTTACAAATAAATCATCAAGGAGTTCAAATCACTACCCCTAAAATACTTCCTTTTGTTGTTTGTCTATAATACTTGATAGCCTATTACAAAAAATAGCACCAGGTTATTTTTCACGGTGTAAGTATGCCTTGAATTACATGCTTGGGGAACTAAACTTAATGCTTTAAAATAAATTAATAGCTAATGTGTAAATTTACATTGTATTTTAATTTTTCTTAAAAAGCAGACTAGATAAATTCTGAAAGTTAAATGTTATTTGGAGAGCACGGGCTAACAATCATTTTAAAGGTTAACTACTATAAATCAGGCTTAGTCTATGTAATTGTATTATTTAAGTACATTATTTAATACATGATATTAATAGTATATCCAATGCTGAGTAATAAACCAAATTACAGTGGGGTTTTATGTATGCCTTTTAAAGTCGTTAATTCAGATGTTTCTTAGTTATATTAAAAATTTTCCCTAGGGATAAAGGATGGGCAGTTCTTATTCCTTAAACGGATGTATAGAATATGAAAGAGAATTGTTTGTAAAACCTATTGGTGAGTAGAGTCCTGTAACTAGAATAAGAATTCTGTAACTGAAGTAATACTTTTGTAATTATGGGCTTAACATTTTCCACGGTTTCTTTGATTCTTCCCACCACGTACCTTAATGTAATCTAAATCTGTCAAACTTTCGGTAAAGCTTGGGTTTCTTAGTATAGACAATTTTCATTAACGTCTGATTACTTCAGAACAGGATACAGACGTGCTATTCAGCAGAAGGACCAAATTTCTAAATTATCACAGTGCTACTATGGAGTTTACATTTTCTTCCCTTCCCCCCCTCACCACATGCCTGAAAAACAGTTATTTCTATTTTTAAACATATTCGCTGTTTACAAATTTCAGCTCCTTATTAAAATGGTTGAGATTTGAACACTAGTGGTGGAAGGGAACCAACATCCTAGGACATCCCTACAGGCTCCCTGTTCAGATGCAGCCGACTGCAAACGCTGCCCATGATTTATCAGCTCTACCGCACATATCTCATTCAAATTGTTAACTGAGACATATTATGAAATATGGATACTCTCCCACATAAATATAAATACAGAAAATATGAGCTGCTGTGATTTGTACATAAATGACAAGACTTAAAGTTATAACATCTTTTTTCCTTTCATGCACATCCTCTCAAAATAAAAGTTCTTGCTTAATACGCACTCGTGCTACAAAATCACATTTATATTTAAGACTTCAATACACTTACCCTAAAGCCTGGAAGGAAGGAATAGAAAGTGCCCAGTGCATCGACAGGAACAGCAGCCTGGAGGCAGACTCCCCAATGTAGTGCACGTTCAGGTACTCCGGCATGGGAGAAGGCATGGTGAGCTAGCGCGAACAGGGACGGAGGTAAATTATCTCATGACCAACAGTTCCAAAGTGTCATTTCTTTGAAAAAGTTAAATGTAAACATAACATATTACATAGGAGTCTAACAGAGTCACCAAAAGGCAAATCTTGAAATAATCTCCCTGGATTTTACAGCTAAAGATAGGATTTAGGATAAATGAGCAGATCATAGTTTCTAAAGCAGTATTCAGACAAGCAGAACCCTACTTAATAAATACAAACCATGAAATTATCTGAATATGTTTTTAAAAATTCCTTTCTGTCTTGGTCTAACAATGTGCTTTTTCCTTTCCTCCCTTTCTTTGTTAACAATGGCATACAACAAATTCAGTTTAAGGAGCAATCAATCTTGTTTAACACTCCTTCCATTTAGGCTATGGAGTTAAATTCAAGTGGTTTAGGGTCAGGAGAGTACTGGTGAGGCAGGCCTGCTGGTGCTGTCTGGGAGGTGGGTATTCCCAGATAAAGAGCCCAGCTGTGACTTGAATTCAACACACTAAAAACATATGGGAATCAGGGCCTCGTACTGCCTGCTATCAATTTTTAAAAGAGCCAACTTCCGTGTAAAAAAATCCCCATTTAATCTACAGGTAAAACAAAATGTGTCTGTGGCCATAATACTAACAGGCTGCCAGTCTGTACTGCTGACTTTAGGTGGTCAACAGAGCGACCACTGTTGAAAATAAATACCCTACACCAAAGCACTCTTAAAAGCATTTTCGAAAGTCTTGTTAAAGAGAACTTTGATTGCTATTACTGAAATGTACTTTCACCCATAAGAAATTTTTTTTATATTTTAAAACCTTCAAAATGATCAATAATACCAAGTGTAAGTGATGGTACAGGGAAACAAGTACTCTCATACTACTGAGGGCAGCTAAAGTAAAGGGCAATATGGTTGTATCTATCAACATCTTAAAACTGAGTACACCGTGTGACCTAATAATGACACTCCTAAGTCTCTATTCCAGAAAAATACTTTCATAATTCACCGAAAAAAGTATGTGTAAGGATGTCCACTGCAGTATTACTCCTAACAAGGAATGCTGGTAATACCCAAATTTCCATCATTAAAGAAAATAATCCATGCTATATAATACCTTGTAAGCATTAAAATTAATAAGATAAACTAAGATGTAATGGCATAGAAAAAACTGTCACAGACATCTAAGTAGAAAAACTGAAAAACAGTATGCAGATATTTTGTAGTTACAAACACAAACACACACATACACACACACACACACACGTGCGCGCATGAAAGAAACACACCAGATGTGCCTGTATGTATTTTTCTAGGGAATGGATATGTAGCTTTCATCAGATTCTCAAAGGTGGTCTATGATATCAAACAGATCAAAAGATTTTTATCAAACTGCTATAAAAATTCTCCAGAAAGGTTAGATAAAAATGTAAAAGACATTGCCTTTGTTCAATGTTAGCCACAAACAGTGTAACTCCTTATAAATGGTGCCAAGTAATAAAACAATAGGGCAATTAATTAACAGTTGAAATTCCATGTATTAGAAGATAATTTTTTAAATGTTTGAGGAATGTTTACTGTACCAATTAAAATGGCATTATTTAAGGCAATTTTTTTTAATCCTCACCCAAGGATATGTTCATTGATTTTTAGAATGAGAGGAAGAGAAAGAGAGACAGACATTGATGTGAGAAACATGATCGATTGCTTCCTGTCCCAAATGGGGATCAAGCTTGCAACCTTTTGGTGTACAGGACAACCCTCCAACCAACTGAGACACCTCGGGTGGGCAAGATAATTCCTAAGAGAACTGTAGGCAAGCAGATACTAAACATCTTAAATGTAATTATTAGGATGCAACTGTTTCTACATCTAAGTACTTAAAAAAACAAACTGGAAACTATCATACTTTTTTAGAATTGCCCAAGACGAATGAGGGGGAAAAAAGCCTAAAAAACTAGAGAATTACCACAGGCTAGGAGGGAGGAGTAAGAAAGATGCAAAACAATGACAAAAATAGTTTAAAATCACTTTTACAGAAATGAAATGTTTATAATATGTAAAAATTGGACATAAGGACTAAAAGAGATGTTCCTTGATTTTTATAATAGTGGTGGTAATGTTGAAAACTTTCTGTTTAGTCATAAAATTGATATCATTTGCAATATACATTAGAGAAGCTCATTATTTAAAAGACAACTATGGAGCCCTGGCTGGTGTGGCTCAGCAGACTGAGTGCTGGTCTGCGATCCAAAGGGTGGTTGGTTCAATTCCCAGTCAGGGCACACACCTGGGTTGCGGGCCAGGCCCCCATTAAGGGGTGCAAAGAGGCAACCATAAACCATACATTGATGTTTCTCTCCCTCTCTTTTTCCCTCCTTTCCTGCTGCTCTAAAAATAAAGAAGTAAAAAATAAATTAATTTAATAAAAAAATTAAGACTACTATGTTGTATTATTTTATAAAGAAAGCAAATGCTTTGTAATTTACCTGTTTTAAGATACTTAATTTTCTTAAAGCAAGATAAACCTCTAGTATTATGACCCAGAAAGTCAATGCTGGCTAAAGAAACAAGTCTTTTAGAAAGCAAAGACAAAGATTTCCTCCTCTATATAGAGAAAGTTAAAAATATTGAAGCTTCCCAAAAAATGCCTGGACTTTTAGGTTATATATTGAATCATACACATTTTTCAAATTACATATATTTAATACACTGAGATTTTTTTTTAAGTGTTGAGACATGATTAAACTAGGCTACCTACTTTAGAAGTTATTTTCTGCAATTACCTTTCTAGCAGTTTCTGTATATAATTCCGATATTGCGCTCAATAATACAGCTTTTAAAAAATCATTTGACTTGAGTTAGAAGATCTGGATTCTACTCCTACTCTGTCATTGATTAATTGTGTGACTCTGGATCACATATTAAATCAGCAACCATTTATTGAGAGTTCACTGTGAGCCACTGAGTTAAGTGCTGTATGCTGTAGCTCGATAAAGAAAGAAAATGGAAACTGAGTAAGCTACAGAAAAGACTAAGAAAGGAAATGGCATGTCTGAGAAATGATGGGCAATTGAACCAGAATGTTGAGGGTCCTAAAAGGTTATGAATTTTTACTCACATGAGCAATGGGAAGTTATTGAAGGCTTTTAGGTAGCACATAACTGGATTGATTTTTAATAATTATCTTTCTGTTATCAGTGCACAGAGAACAAGATGGAGAAGAGAAACTGGAAGCAAAGATATTACTATAAGTTTAAAATTTTTTCAAAGGTCTGAAATATGGCAGTGAAAATGAAGAGAAAGGGAGAAATTCAAACAACAGAATGGTTAGGATTCAGTCGGGGAATGAGGCTGGGTAAAATGACAGTGACACCTGAACAGCAAAAATGGTGACTAGGATTGTGATTATAATACTGAGACAATAAATTTCAGAGAACAGTTTGCGAAATCACCTACCTCTGTCTTATGCACTTATTTCTAAATGGGAATACTATCCGCCTTGACTATTTGTATAAAGAAATTGTAATAATCAAGTGAGATATAGTATATGAAATCACACCAAAAACTCTGAAGTTCAGTAAAAATGTTAGATAGTTCTACTATCTCAGATTCTTCAGAATCATAACGTAAGTTGCATTACTAGACTATTTCTTCTTACTGTCTGGGTTACTTTGAACAAGACACTGAAAACCTCTTCATCTCTTTTCTCATTCACAAAGTGGCAGTAAAAATCAGAACCTTCTGAATAGACTGTGGTGAGGCTCAAATGAAAGAAATGTATGTGAAAGCATGCTGCAAACTACCGTGTATGTAAACATGCGAGAGAACAAAATGCTTTTTAGCTTAGCAATTAAGAGAGAATTGAGTTTTTGATTATAGATGTTAGGTCTTGAAACTCATGACCATAAAAACTCAATGAAAGAACTAACCATGAAAGTGGAAGGTTGGGAAGTGAATAAAAAAACTCTTGATTTCACAGAGGCTGTAAATAAACATCTGGGGAAAAAGGAGCTGTGTTTTTCAGGAGAGCAAGAAACTTTAGTGCTGATTCCGAGAATACCTGGAGTACAGCAGGTTGAAGATGGAATGGAAAAAAAAAGTTCTATTTGCCTAATTCATCTGTCTAAAACAAATATTTGAAAGAAAAAAAGTTTGAGGACCAACATCAACAATAAAAAAAGGTGTACTACTTGACTTTTGATAGAAGTATTCTTGAGTACTTTTTCCTTGAAATGGGTCCTCTTCCTACATCTGTTTTTTACTGTTCCTTCCCATTTAAATCCAGAGGTGGAAAATAAAACTATTAAAAGAACATCTTTTACTTAGAATAAGAACAGGGAAAATCAGTTTTGCTTTGCTCCACCCCATCCATAGCTCCTACTGTATTTTTAAGGATGACATTGATTATTCCTATTGCCTTTTCTTATAGCCATCATAAAGTTTTCTTGTACAGTACAAATATTTCTATTTTTTCCATGTTACCTTTGTAAAATTTTACATAAAGATTGGTTTCACTGATATGTTTTACTTCCTATCAAATTAGAGCAATTATTATTTAAGTAACTGTGTGTTTTCTCTGTGGCTATTTCTACCAAGTAGTCAAAATTTGCAAATAAAAATTTTATATGCCATTTTTCCCAGTATCAGATTTATTTTGTGCTTGTTTCTACCAGTGACAGACCTATCTGATAACTGTATATTTTCATAAGAAACCCACGGAAATGTATAATCTATAGTAAAGTTATGAGCAATTACACTTAGGTATTCTAGGACTACTATGTATTGCTGAAGGTCCTACATACTTCCACTCACTCTGTAAAGATACAGAATAGTTAAAATAGAGGGGTCAAAACAGCAAAGTCTTAATTAGGGCCTCAATGGTCAGCATATCTATAGTTGAATGACAAACATCTGAATGACAAATCAAATATTATAAAGTTATTTTCTAAGGATCTATATGTATTGTTTCAATCATAAATTTATGTATTTTAGGGGAGCACAAAAGAAATGACAAAAGTACCTACTCCAAAATGGTTAAAGTGTAAAAAGTTAAAAACCAAATGTTAAAATCTATTAAATAATTGATTACTCTCTTAAAATAATTCTGAGAGTTAGCTAAGTGGACAATACATAATAAATGGAATTCTCTGTAATTATCATGGTAAAAGCAGAGTATCTGAGTCTTAGATACTGGTTTTAGTAGCTAGGCATTCAATGAAACCAGTGCATTTGACATGTCATGAATGCCAATATTTAAAGTAAAAAAAAAAAGTATAAATGTTCTAAAAGCAAACTTTTATAGGTTTAACCCATTAATTGATATAACTATGACTTATAAACAGGGTTTATTAAGCCATTATTTTAGGCAGATGTGTATGTTTTAGGCGCAGTTTTAAATTCTGTTAGGGATATTCCTGACTTTTAGAAGCACAACAAACATACGTTGATTTTTGAAAGGAAGATTAAAATCAAAATGGATAATACAACATAAAAATTATAAAACATATATATGGAAATACCCTGAATGCTACATGTGAATCGCTGAGAAGTGGCCCCTCTTTTTCGATGTAATTTATGCTTGAGTCTCCAGCAATTAGGTGTACGCTTCCTTCCATGCCCTCTACTGAGCTCTGACAGGCTGTGCTCTCTCCAGGATTCAATGCTTTTGCGAGAGTATCAAATGCCCTATAAGGAGACATCAGAAGCTGTGAGCTTGGCCAATCTCCACAATAAAATAAAAATTCTATGTAAAATTCTGGAATTAAGATTTAGGCCTAAAAACTCTTTAGGAAAGAAAACTTTGGTGTATCACTGAACACACTATTTCAGTGATATTTATGACTCTCCAAAAGCAACAAATTATATTTCATATGTATAGTATGAAAAATATATTATACTAATGTATTACCAGAGAAATAGTCTTTTAAAAAAATCTTATGTAATTAAGGGGGAGAAAAATCCTTATACATTGGTATGAAAATATACTTTTACAAGTTATATACTTGTTACTACAAGATATCAGCCCATTTATTTTACATAGAGCAGTTATTTAGGAAGAACAAGGGCTAGAACTTACGTTGACTTTATTCTACATAACACAAAGTTAGGTTTTAATTTTACTTAAAAATTCAGAGAGCATTTTTAAACTTACGGTAACATAACTACATTTAAACTTTAAGAATTTGAGATTAGGATGGCAAATAATGAACTAATGATAGCAAATAATATTTCAAAATAGTTCCCCATATTTTTTAATGAGATGCCTTCTAAAGTTCCTTAAAAGCTGTTGTTCAACAAAGTACTTATTGAGACTCTTAAATGTAGTTTCTTCAATATTTTAGATGACGAATAGTGTGAAAAAGGCCTGAAGAAATCTGGTTTCTACATCCTCGGTATTGAGAGAATAAAAAACAGAATTCTGATAGGAATTTCCTGAAGTAAAACATAAAAAATGTAGCTGATTCAATTAGGTCTTTAAATCTGTTTCATGACTAAAAATTGTTGGGGAAAATAAACATGACTGCCCAATAAGACAAATGTTTAACTCTAAATACACAGAAGATAAAAACTGACAACTAAACTACCTAAAATTTCACACCCAGATTACCATCTTTAGTGGGAAAAAAATTTCTGAAACTTATGGCTACATCCTAACTTATAATGTTCAATTACTGCTCATTATTTAGAATGTTTTCCTGCTGTAAAACATTTCACATTGAATGCAGCTAAAACTTACTGTGCCTTAAATTTTCTAAGCCTAGTAGAAATACTTGTTTTCTGAAACTTCTACAAGTAGTATTCAACATAAAAATACTTTAAGAAATACTAAAGGACACTTAAGATCAAAACAGGCCTTACCTTGACACATCACCGTTGGTATGCATTTCTTGATTAAATTCACACACAGAAGTATCACCATTGCTTAATCCTTCAATCATAGACATTTTATTATTTTGAGAAAGTCCTTTAGTTTTTCCAAGATTTGCTAATGATGTAACCACACTGGCCAGTGTACTTAAATCTCCCTGACATGATTCAACCTTAAAAAAAAAACAACAAAAAAACAAAAAAACATTAAAACTCTGAGGTTGGTATCAATAAACTTTCAAATCTGAAGTGACTAATTCTAGATTATAAAATGCTAAAAGAAAAGTACTCTGATTAAGATGAAACCTAAAAAGTAAAATCAAAGAGCTTTGACCATATAGAAACTTGAGGAAACTACAAGGTTAAAAACATCATGTACATTTCCTAGGTTTTATGACATGTTTATACAAAAGCTACTTCAAACCAAAAATGGCACATTACAGTCTCTTCCTCTATTAAAAGGATATTAAATTAGATAGTCATTTTGGTATTAAAATTCTGATAGTGTTATAATTTCCAAGACATATTACATAGATAAAGTTGTATAGAATGTAATAAAATTATTAGTGAAAAGAAGAAAAAAATAAATGTATTATTGAACACATTTCCTAGGATGCCAACTTTTACCAGCTACTGTGTTAAATGTGTTAAATACCAGGAAATGCATGGTTGAAAAATCTCTTTTCTTATTTAAGATATTATGTTACACATTGCTTATTTTCCCCACTGACTGCAGCTTTTATTTTTCTTAATGATATATATTTATATATTATTTTTGTATTAATTAGCCATACTTTTTTTAAACATTTATTTTTAGAGAGAAGGGAAGGAGAAAGAGAGGGGGAGAAATGTCAATATGTGGATGCCTCCTGTGTACCCCCGACTGGGGACCTGGCCCACACCCCAAGCATATGACCTGACTGCAAATCAAACTGGTGACCCTTTGCTTCACAGTCCAGCGCTCAACCCACACCAGCCAGGTAATTAGCTATAATTTTTTTTGAAAATGAAATATTACCCAGAGATATAATTTGTACAACAAAGGCAGATACATGCTTGATTCTTTTTATCAATATTCAGAGCAGTAAGTCAATGTCCTAGAAATCTCTAGTGGTAACAGATGAGTTTTGAGTATCATTTTAAATTCATAGATTTTTACATATTTGGTATGTTTCAATTCATTAGTCATTCTGTTTTAAATGCTCAAATTATTCCATCCTAACCTAATGAGATGCCTTCAGTAGCCTTCTATGGCATACTGACAGGATCCCTTAATGATATTTTTTATTTTTCCTTTATGGTTCTTATTTTTAGTGTTCTTAATCCCAAAAGAATGTTCCTCTGATACTTAATGTGAAATTAATGTTGATGAATAAGTAGAATGAAAGAATTTTTGTGTTCTCAAATTAATGAATGGTCCCAGAATCATTTACTGAGTAACTCACCATTTCTGAGTTCTCACACAATTACTACTTATGCATTAGGTTGGCCAAAAAGTTTGTATGGTTTTTTTCCATAAAATAAAAGACACATTTTTCATTTTCACCAAAAACTTGATTAATTTGGATATTTTGAGTATGTTGGGCCTCTCCGCATGGTTTAACATTAATTGTTCTCAGTTAATGTCTCAATTTGATCCCTATTAATTTCAACTGGTCTACCTGACTGTAGAACATCACCCAGCAAGAAATCTCCAGCATGAAACTTCGCAAACCGCTTTTGACACGTTCCATCACTCTCAGAACCTTCTCCATACACTGCACAAATCTTTTTTTGCATTTCATTTGTGTTTTTACCTTTCTTGAAATAATAAAGCATAATATGCCAAAAATGTTGCCTATTTTCTTCCATATTCAATATTAAAAATGGCTACACAAAAATTTATCAATTTTGATGGTTTTTTAAGATGCATGTTGATATGACAGCTGTCACAATGCAATCTAACAAAATTGTTTTGAATGAAGTTAAAGACAACTAAGTACTACTAGAGCCATCGTATGAAAAAAATCCCAACGAACTTTTTGGCCAACCCAATATTTTATTTAATCCTTACAACCACCTTGTGAAATAGGAATCATCACCCCTTTGTGGCTGACATGAATTATCCATTGTCACTACAGCAGTACACAGGGGAAGCAGAGTGGGAGGTCAAGTCTGAGGGGAAAGCCTATGCTCCTAACCACTCTGCTCCAGCCCTCTTATATATGAGTAAAAGAGTTTAACATTTTTAGGTATTTTAATTTTTAACTAAAACTTAAACACATATATTCTTTTCTATTTCATAACATGTATATGTAACTAAATTTTTAAATTTTGCCACTCTTATGCAATGTGGAAAGAGCTCATCCTGTGACTTGATAATCTGGGAACATTTGTCAGAAACCACACAAAGTTGTTACTAGAATTTAATATAAAGATATACAGAAATGCACAATATCTGGACAAATAGTAATTTCTCAACAAAACTTAATTCTCTCCCCCTCTCAAAGGAATTAATGTGTAAAAGAAATTTTAACTACCAATCTAATCTTTAATCATGTAGTCAAGTTTAAGTAAAATCTCATAACTCTAAAATGTATGGTAAGAGGCCAAATCTTCTCATTTAGTAGCAACATGCTATAAAGCCCAGTCTGTAAGGTAGACACTCTCATTATCCCTATTTTACAGATGAAAAAGGAAAATTAGGCACTGAAAGGTCAAATAACTTGCCCAATGATATGCAAGTGGCAGCTCGAATTTGACTCAAGAGCACACGTATTAAGAATGCCTTGAAGTATCAAGCAACAAATATATAACAAATATGGCCATAAATAGGAGGAATAATCTTACAGGGTATATAAAACCAGATCACATTATAAGCTAAGAGAAACAAAAGTCATAGGCTCCCTAAAATCTGTTTTCAGATAGGAGTCTTCAGGAGAAAATTTTTTGTTTTCATAAGGGAGTTTCTGAAGACTACAGAAATTGTATATGCTCAATCTAAATAAACAAACCTTTTTTCCTTTAGACTCCTTGCTCAATAAAGAGCTGCTCCAAATCTCTAAGAGAACCCAGATGACTTGGATACATAAAATGAGAGCTCTTGAATCCTATTCCTACTCTTCACTCAAGTCAATGATTTGAGTCAGGTGTGTTAGCAATTTCTCTTGGCACTATAAAATCTGTAGCGGAATATAAAAGAAGTATTAAAAATTTTTCATGTACTATAAATATCTATTTAGGAGGACTTCTATTTCAAGATGAAAAAGGACCTGGAATGCTTTTAAATGTCTGTCATTTTGCATTGAAGTTATAATTGCCCTAGTGGAATAATAACATTTCTACTAATAAAGTTAATTCCTATAGTATTTGTATCCACAAAATGGAGGACACCATAGCAGGGCCCCCCTCCCCCATCATGTCACAAATCTTAACAAAGTCAGCCTGTGTTTACAGGAAAATCAAGGAAACCTAATATACACCAATCACAATCCTCCAACTCAGCTTTAGCTGGCTTATCTTAACCTAGGAACACAGGACCTTAGAAGACCTTAAAAGGAAATTCCTGACTTCACAGCCAATCATGCTCTGTTTCCTTGTTGCTCCTTCTAACTGTAAAACTCACTCTTGCCCAATAATCCCCTCAGGAAGAGTGTTCCACTGCTTATGCGGCACTGTGTTCCCCCAATATCTGGATTATTTTCCCCTGAAGAAAGAGCATCAAACTCATTACTAAACTGTTTTAGTTTTCTCATTTGACACTACCAAACAGTTGACAATTTATATTAAAAAAAAACAACTTGTAACAGGAAATATTTAAGATCAAATCAACTGACTAATTGATGGAGGAGATAAAGAAAAGGAAACCATTTTAAAAGCTTCAAAATATTTAATCTTTAAATTAATTGCACTAACCACACCTTATCTGGTGTCATCAGCACAGCTGACTCAGTTTTTATTCCAGACTGTTGAATATTCACAAACATTCCTGAATCTAACAGTCCTGTTGACCTGCGACAAATAAAAACAAAGTTCAGCCTTAGCATCAGTGGGAAGAAAAACAAATCACCAGCTATTTAATATGTTTTATTTGTTGTTTTTACTATACCTTGCAGTTTCACTATCTGTTACAAAAGTTGGAGTTGCAGCTAATGGGCTTCGAAGGTCTTTTCGAATGTAGATTTTTTCTGTTGAAGCAGCACAATTGGAAGATTTTTCTCGTGATACTTCAATGGGTTTTCTTTCACACTGAACAGCTACAAAAATGTTTTAGACTGTTACAATGCAGAATTTACAGTTATAAATGTAAGTTCTAGGCCAGCAATGCTGCCAATGGGAGATATAGCCACCATAACTGAACCCCAAAGATAACCAACCATCAATCTTTAAAAATTATCTGCATATGTAATAAAGTTGCTTTAGAAAACTGTAGTAGTAAATAGTAATAGTGGCCATTCTGCATCTCTCCATTCTCTTTTCCTGTCTCTGCTGTGGGAGAAATGTAGAGGAACTCTTATCTTTTAAAAGCTCATTGTCAAGAATGAAAATTGAAGTTAGGAGTTCCTTTACTTATCTGTATGAGAGTTTTATAAAATGAAATCATATTTAACTATTTGAAAACTACTACCAAGAGCCACAGAAAAGACCAATGAGATTTTTTTTTCCCTTTTAGTTAAGGGCAGTTTGAGAAATAATTCAACTGCTTAGTCTTCATTTATAAAACATATATTTCACTTATTTTACAGGAATTTTATTTCATGATATTAAGGAGACAGTAGAGTTGTTCAAATGCGCATTTTCTGAGGAAAAAAGTCACCAATATTCAAATCCAAGTTCTACCACTTATTAGTTGTGTGTCCTTGGACAAGTTACTAAATTTGTTTACACAAATGTAAAGTGGGTAACAGTAGTACCTACTGCATAGAATTTTGCTGTGAGAAAAAGAAACTTATTTCGTACACTATACAGAGTTAGGCATAGTGACAGCGCAGGCAATATTAGCTATTAAAAACTAAACTTAGTTAGTTGTGCCCTTTTTTTTTTTTTACCATGTCCAAACTGCAAATACACAAGTGGCACATAGGCACTCAATAAATATTTGTTAAGTGAATTAAGAATACATACTTGGGTACATATTTCTATATTTTTAGTTGGAAAACTGTAAATTAAAAGGCATATAAAACTGACATATTTTAATGCGCTAATTTTAACATACTTCTAGAGTTTTCCCAAATCCTTAATTTTTCTCCTTTAAAGCTAATACATACAGTCTTGTTTCATTCCAAATGCAATACACCTCTGTAACCTGCAGTATTGACAGCGGTTTCGGTGGTGTTTATTGATAATACAGTCCTTTGATCCGCGACATGAATAAACTAAGTTTTTTCGGATACTTCTTTTAAAAAATCCTTTACAGCCTTCACAAGTTACTGCTCCATAATGACGCCCTAGAGACAAAATGTTTAGAAAAGTCACATATTTTAATAAGCCCATTTCTTCCCTTTAAACAACATATGAGATAAAACAGATTTTTTTAGTTTATGACATAAAAAGAAATTTAGGAGTTACCAAACAGAAGATGAAACAACCATATTCTCTGATAGGATATATTAAGCAATATGAAATTATTTTCACTTCCGATATCACAAATTATAGTTCTGTTAAATACTGTATAAATATATTTTAATATGAAAACTATGCTCCAAAAACAGGATATCAGTAATTAGTGTTTGATAATAATGTCTCTTTACTGTGGGTTACACTTTTTAAGTATCTGGAGATATCTGCTGCACTCTGATTAACCTATCATTTCACAAACTGTTTCTTTGACACAACATCTACTACCAAACTGAACACTCTGAGAAAAGCTCTAGTGGAGATTTTTCTAATTAAGCTACAGGAATAGATTAAAGAAAATTAAAACAAAACAAAACAAACCTGGGCCCTTTACCTATATCCCAGTGGCACTTGTAAATACATATGAATGAACAGAGGTTTGTATTTCTGGCATGAAGGAGTAATGGCCAGAATTAAAATGACATAGCCCTAAGTACCAGTAATAGGTTTGAAGAAATGTCTGCTCAGCTATGCAAAGAATTACATAAAGGTAACCAGAGCTTTTTCTACCATAATAATTCAATTTACTCTGTATTCCTAGAATGAGAACAGGGATCAACGGGTCGGTTAATAACTTAATGTTGTATATTACTAAGAATCACAATTCATTTTTTAGCAATTCTATGACAAAAATGGTGTCATATTAAAAAAACTTTCCCCATGTTCAATTTACTTTCAAAAGGTTAACTCATAATTCTTTGAAATATGCATTTTACGTCATTGCAAGATCAAATTAAACTGCACTGAAGTGAAAAATTCTTATGTGAGTAAAAAGCTCTGGGGAAAAATCACTTAAGTTTCGCAGGTTACAAATATGAACCATAAAAACCACACGTTCTTTTATTTTTTCATTTTACTTTCAGTAAAAGAAACATAGTAGTGTGGTAGTTACTTTAACAACACAGCACATATAAGAAGGTATTTTTAATGTTACCTGATGCTTTGTCTCCACATACTACGCAAAGATCAAAAATCTTATTTGGTCCTTGGTCTGAAGAAGAATTATCTGTTAAGAGCTAAGTAAAACCCCCCCCAAAACAAAAACAAAACACAGTAATTTGTTATTACTCAGTAACACTCTCATGTAAAAAAAGAAAGAACGCTGTCAGTCTTACTTTTTGCTTTCTTTTTTGTAAGTTATTCTGAAACTCTTAACCTTATTATATACATATAGCAATTAAACTATTTGTAATTTTAACATATAGGTAAAAATTTCAGTGTTATAGGAAGCAAAGACAGACCTTTTAAATTTGTTTTATAATAATTTCATTAATGTAAACAGACTGTTAAACACATAAATACATAAGTAGTTTTTAATATATCTCAGAGTCAGCATTTAATATTCGTATGGAACAAGTCAAATTATCGCAGCAGTTATCAGTCCTATTATGACATTTGCCTTTAAATTACTTAGAATCTTTCTAAATGGATTGACTATAATATGCCATAACAGCATAAAAAATAACTCTTAAGTTTTTAAAAGAAAGTTATAAAGAAAAGAATTTTGTTGATGAATTAACTTATGATTATGGAAATATAATTGATATACAAAGGTATAAATTTTTCATTACTGAGTTCTTCTCAGGTTTGGGTTAGGGGCAGCGGTTGAGAGCATGGGCTCTGGAGTCTGATAAACGGTAGCAAGTCAGTCCTAGGCGGGACAGCCTTGGGTGAGCTACCAAGCCTCTTCAGATTACATGAAGGGCTTATCATTAAGTACAGTTAATGCTGGTAAAAAAAAAAATACTACTTTCTTCTTTTAGGTTTATCCTTCAAACTTTTCATCATTTTCTTCCAATCCTTTGAAAAGTGAACAAATTAATTCAACCCAAAAAATGTGATATGGCATTTAGTAAACACCTTCCCCCTGTTTTAAAACAACCCACAAAGTAATCCTCTACTTTGATTCCTTTTCTTCCTTTAGGGGTGTGAATGCCTTCAGGAGTAATTTTGATTAAAAAAACTTTAAACAGTCCTTAAAATAGCTGTCCTTTATTATGCTATAGTGGTATTATTTCTTTTTATATCACCATAAAAATCTGTCTTCAATTAAAAGAAAGACCCAAATTCTGGTATTAGATGTCCTTGAAAACACCTAAAACAAATCATTCTTTTCCTCAACAGTTTATCTATTGCAAATGGTGCTACTATTTTGTCTGCTATTAATTTCTAATAGTATAGAGAGGGAAAGGGACTTGCCCATATACTGTCTTAGGTCCCTAAACCTGAAATCAAATCATCTTGGCCCAGGGAATTCTATCCTATACTTATTTCTTTTTAACTGCTTTTAGCTATGATCCATAAAGTACCAATATTACCTTTATTTTTATACTACAGAAATTTTACACAAAATAGTAACTTTACAGTGGAGAAATCTGACACATATTTCTTCAGCCAGGTGGTTAAGGTTAATGTCGCCAGTCATAAAACATGATGATATAAGTACCCTTGATAGGATGTGATGAAAATGGCACTTAACCTCTTTGATCCTCCTCCCCAAAACCCACTACCCCAATCTTACATGAGAAAAACCGCCAAAGTTTCAGTGGGGTGGCCTCCAATATACCTGACCAGCACTCCTCAAAACTGTCAAGGCCATCAAATACAAAGTCTGAGAAACTGTCATAGTTAAGAGGAGTCTAAGGAGACATGGCAACTAATTGCAACATGTTACTTTAAAACAAAAAAAGAATATTAGGTAAAAATTAGGGAAAGCTAAAGATATCTATTAATTTTAGTTAATAACGTATCAATGAGAGTTCATTAATTATAACAAATGTGTCATACTAATGCAAAAATGTTAAAAGGAGAAATTTTATGTTGGAAGGTTATATGTGAACTCTGTGTAGTAACTGCTTAATATTTCTATAAATGTAAAACTTAAAAAAAAATCAACTCTATTAATAAAATAAAGGTACACAATATAACTTTTTTTAGTGACTGCTGTCTTGTTGATAACTTTTTATAAGTTCTACCCATTTTCTACCTTAGCAGTTTCGAAGAAATGATGTAACTGAAAGAATAGAATCTATCAGGATACACAGGCAAAGATTTTCTATTTTACAAATTAGGAGTTTTTCACTGCTACAAGGAATTTTCATAGATCAGTCTTTCATAAAAAAAAAAATAGAATCCAATTTTAAGTGGGCACTCCCCAAAATCTGAGGGCAAACTTAAGGATTCACTTTATTTGTATGCAATTACAGCAAAAAGCAGTAAAAATATCTATATAACCACAGGCATTAGTGTATAAAAGCCTTAACTGACTTTTGAAGAATAAGGTATAACTAGCAAAAATTAACACCAACACAATGTAAAGTTAATTTACATTACTGAGTTCCAGGATTTATTAAAGCAGACGATAGGGTAGATGGCTTGCTACATCAACGAAGGTGCAGATGACAACAGAAGAAACAAACTGACAAAGATGGCAGCTATGATACCAATTTCTTGATTTGGAAATGCTTGTTGGCGCAGGCACCTTGGTCCTGGAAACTGCAGCTACAGAAGATCCTCCTGATCTGGCAGTTCTGAACTGTGCAGAGGTAGCAGGTTTCTTAGAAGCAATTTCTAAAGTATGTTCCAGTAGTTATTTTTTGGAAATCTGATCTGGAACTGTTCTCTTCAGCCTTTCCAACAATTCTTTGAGCTCTCTAAAATTCTGTTTTTTTTTAAAATAAAAAATCCTCCCCCAAGGATATGTTTATTGATTTTTAGAAAGAGAAAAAGGGAGGGAGAAAGGGAGAGGGAAAGAGAAAGAGAGAGGGACAGAGAGAGAGTTGAGAGAGAGAGAGAACAATGAGAGAAAAACATCGACTGGCTGTCTTCCATACATGCCTTGACTGGGGAGTAAATCTGCAACCTAGGTATGTGCCCTCATTGGGGGTCAAAAACACAATCTCTTGGTGTATAGGATGATGCTCCAACCACCTGAGCCACCTGGCCAGCGTTTCCTAACTAGCCAGAATGGATCTTCCTGTATGCAGCTAAGAACCCCCAAAATATATGGGTGTTAAGGACACATGAAGAAAAATATAATGGCCTATAGGAGAGGACAGTCACCACATATAATCTGCACAGCACATAACTTTACGGAAGATTTTCTTTTTCCTACTGCACATGCAGGAGCTAAAGTTTTAATGTCAGGACTCAGGACATGCTTTTTAATTCTTTTCAAGTGTAAGCTGAAAAGACACTCTGTAGTTATTTACCTGGAGGTGTTGTGTAGACAGATCAGGAGTTGTGAAAAATAACTGGTTGACACCTGCTGCATCTGGAGTTGTAAGAAAAACTTTCCCTGGCGTGGAATCTTGCCTGGCCAGAATAACTTTGCTTGGAGTAGAGCCATCGTGATTTGTCAGAATGAACTGCTTGCCTTGTGTGTTATGATCAAGGGCTGTCACAATCTGGATTTTCTGGCCAGTCTGCTGGTCTGTAACAACCTAATGCAATCATGTAACATTAATAATCAAATCAACTCAATTTTTTTTTTCTTGAAGAACAAAACTTTCTCATACTTTCAACAAAGCCAGAAAAGCATACCCATTATGTATATACTCACTATAATACATAAACACGCACACCTTTTAAGTTGGTAATTCTACTTCCACGAAATTGTATCTTACAGAAATAAACAAATGTGCAAATAAATAAAGGTACAACAGTAAGAACATTTAGACCTCACTATTTTGAATCCTTCCTTCCCCTTCCCTTCCACCTTCCATTTAGACAAACATGTTTTGGGTGTATTCTATTTGCAAAGCACTCTTTGTTCTGAGTCCTGGGAAAGAGAAATAAACAAAATCTTTGTTCTCATAAAGTTTTTATTTTAGTGAGAAAAGACAGATAAAAACCAAATAAGCAAATAATATTGTCAGGTGGTATTGAAGTGGCATGAAGAAAACTAAAGCAGGGTAAGGTGAGAGTCACTGACGGAACGGGAGCGATGAGGAGATAACATTTTTGCACAGACCCGAGTGAAGTATCAGACCAAGGTTTAGGACTAGCTAGGGGAAGTACACCCCGGGTAGAGGAAATAAAACAAAAAAGAAGGCAGTGGAGCATAAGTGTGTTGGACGCATGAGGCAAGATGCATGGCAAGAATACCATGTAAGTGGAACAAAGTGGAAGAGAGGGATTACGGTATACCGAAGACAGGATCTGAATGACAGTAGGGGCCAGATCATGTAAGGTTTCCCAGGCTATACAAACTCTGGATTTCTTACACTGTGAAATGGAGATGTACTCGAGGGTTTACAGAGCAGTGGAGTGCCAAGATCTTCAAAAAGGATCATTTTAGATTTAGTGTGAAGACTAGACTGTGAATTTAAGAGCAGAATTAAGGGAGACCAGAAAGGATGTTATTGCACAGATACTGGCAATATTTGGGTATTATATGGGGCAGAGATACTGGATGTGAAAAGGATAGAAACCATGCTGGGGGCTTAGGGGACAATTGAATTTGGGATAATTTATGAGATGAAAGATGACAAGATAAGCTGATTGACTGGATGTGGAATATAAGGAGAGAACAGTCACGGATGACTATAAAATTTTGGCCTGAGGAACTGGGAGGAAAGAATTGCCATCTACTGAGATGGAGTAGTTTGGGGAAAAGCAAGTCCACAAATAAAGAGAACTGGCCTAGCATTGAGGATTTTTGTTGTTGAGCATATTCTTAAACTCATTAAGCCATTTTAATTCCTTGACTCAATTTTTAAATGGTAGAGTTGGTTTGTTTTCATCTTTTTCTGTTTCCTAAAATATTTTCATCAAGATTATTTTCTGTGCAAAATTTACAACAAACTTCTGAATCACTAATCAGTTTTTGTCCAGAGCAGACTGTACTGATTATAGCTGCTGCCAATTTTAGTTTTCTTTATTGACCATTATTTCTATCCTGTCCTATTTTTCTATATGTAGTTTTAACTGTTGCCAATTTTATACAGATTATTTCTACCAAGTCCAGTCTCTACCCTCCCTAAAAATTTCTAAAATTTTCAATGATATCTGAAGATGTGACTCTAAATCAGTTCATCTGTAACAAATTTTACCATGCAAACTTTAAGCTGTTTTATGGGGTTTTTGGGGGGAGGAGGGGTTATTTCTATCAGTAATATTCACTGTGAACTGAATAAAAATCTAACAGCTCACAGTTATTTCTTAAAGGAAACATCATTAGGTGCATGCACAGTGCAACTGTCATTGGGTTGGGACACTTTGTTTAGATGAGTAAAAGGATGTTTACTGCAGCATAGCAATTATAACTGGTAACTAAAGCAATCCAAATGGTCTTCAATAAAGAATAAATACATTAAGAAATTATGGAAAAAGTTTTCCAGTCTCAGGATCCCATTACACTCTAAAAATTAATGAAAGTCCCAAACGGCTTTTGTTTATATGAGTTATATGTATGATAATCATCATATTAGGAATTCAGAGAAAATTTTAAAATATTAATTAAAAATTTAAAACTAACATTAAATGTTAACATAAGTAACAAAGTATTTTTTCTTTTATGAAAAATATGTGTATTTTCCAAACAAACAAAAATTTAGTGTGGACAGTGGCAATGATTTCTTACATTTTTGAAAACTGTCTAGCTTAATAGAAGCTAGATCCTCCTATCTGTCTCTTCATTTAATCTGTTACATTATTTGGGTTAAAATATTGAAAGAAATAAAAAAGAAAATACGGCCTCACAATTATGGATTGAAGGGGGAGGAATATCTTATATTAAGCCTCTTCACATTGTAGAAACTGTTCTTTGATACTACACCAAAACCTGACAACTGGTGGCTAAAAGTTTGTTGCAATGTGGAATCAGAAACTATATAAAAATCTATTGGTCTATCCTGCAATTTGAATGGCTCCTTTACTCATGAGTGATTATGGAACATCATGTATTGGTCATTTGGGAAACAGTGGTTATGTACACCTTTTAATGTTGATATTTCATCATACAATGTCACATGCCATGTAGTCTCTGGAAAATTCTGCTGTATACTGTGAGAGAATGATAGTGAAAAGGCAAATAACATTTTAGTATTATTATGAAAATAATTTTGACTTTGCTGATTTTCTGCAAGAACCCCTAGATACTTTCAAAACCTTGTGGATTATGGTACCTCTTATTATGAAGGAGGATGTACTAATTGTCTCAAAAATGAAGCTGTCTATTGACATGGATCTGCTCCCACTGGTCCATTCAAACTGCCCTTGGGTTCTGTACCCTCCAAAAGTATTCCCCGGCCAGGTCCCCACACACCTCCACAATTCTTAGCTATTTTCTTCTGTGCTGCCATAACACCCTATACAACTACTATCATAGCACTTGCTATATCCTATTGAGATTATCCGATTATTCAACTGTATCTCATTAGATTAAAGCTAAGTAGGGGTAGAGTGTCTTTTATCTCTGTACTCCAGAACCTAGAATATACATTTGGTATAATTAAGTCTGGCGAATCAGTGAGTAAACTATAAACTAGACATACCTCTCCCATCTGTTGTTCAATAATTTGATGTGCAATTTCTTCTATGGTTGCCATGATCTAACTGCGAAAATATCCTGCCAAAAATAAAAAGATGTCTTTTCATAAAGTATACCCATAAAAACATATTTATTGAAGAATTTAGAAACGAAATTATACAATAGGATTTTCTTCAAAGCTATCCAGTTAGGTGGGTAGGGTGAGAGGGAATAAATAAAACAAAATTGGCCATGCACTGACAGTTCCTGAAGACTGGTGCAGGTTATATAGGGGCTCATAAAATTATTCTGCTTTTATATATTTAAAAAATAGCTACTTAAAAAAACTATTCAACCAAACAATTTCACTTTTCACTGAAGGCTAACCAGGAGAACATGAATACAAATCAGTACTTTATTTATTTAAACAAAGGCAATCCTAACTATAAACAAACACATCACTGTAGCCATTTAACACACTTATCAAATATTGTAAAAAATGACAAAATAACTGCACTGATTTGGAAGGATGAAAGATTTCTCTAGAATCATTTCACTGCAATATGGATAAGCTGAGTATTTTCCAAATCTTCAAATTCTGGTTCTATATTTCTTAATAACAACTTCTTTGATTTCTCTCACTCTTCTCACATTTTACTATAAGCAGCAATGGGAAATGAGGCTGCATCTCCAACACTTTGCATAGAAATCTCAGATAAATACCCAAGTGTATCACAAGTTCTACTTTACACAAAACACTAGAACACAATACAGCCAAGTTCTTTGCCACTTTATAACAAGGTTCCCTTGCTCCAGTTTCCAGCAACATGCTCACTTTCATAGGAGACCTCGTCAGAAGCACCTTTCATTTTCACATCTACCAACATTCTGTGTATGGTGGGTGATATGCGAGCATCTCTAAGATGACAGTGGCTTTTTCTACAGCTCTCCTCTGTTCTTTCTGAACCCTCACCAGAATTGCCTTTGGCATCTCTATTTCTACCAACAATCTCTTTAGGCCACCTCAGGCTTTTTCTAGCATGCATGTCAAATCTCTTCCAGCTTCTACCCATTTCTCAGCTCCAAGCTTTTAGGCATTTATTAAAACAGCACCCCACTTTTCCAGTACTAAAAATTTATATTGGTTTACTAAGGCTGATATAACAAAGTAGCACAGGTTGCATGGTTTAAACAACCAAAATGAATTTTCTCACAATTCTGAAAGCTAGAAGTCTGAGACGAGCAGTCTGAGTCTGAGTGGGCAGGATTGGTTTCTTCGGAGACTGATCTCCCTGGCTTGTAGATGGCCCTCTTCTCACTGTAGGTTTATCTGCCTACACTCTTAATTTGTGTTGTACTCTTTTTAAAAAAAAATTATTTTTCTCTGTAACAGTTGTCTGTAATCTCTTCTTACAGGAACAATAGTCATTGGATTAGGGCCCACCCTAATGACCTCATTTTAACTCAGTTACCTCTTTAAAGGCTTCATTTGTAAATACAGTCACATTTTCAGGTGTCATTTCTTCAAAATATGAATGGGATGGCAGGGTAGACAATTCAGTCCATAACACTTAGGCATTATATCTAGTAAGATATGTGCAAGATCTATGTAAAGAAATCTTTAAAATGCTACCTTGAGAGAGGGGAAAACTAACTGAAAGAACACAAGAAAACAGAATGACTACCTTCAAGGAGAACTGGAAATCTGGAAAAAGGGAGGGATGGAGATTTATTTCTCACTGAGTGTTAGTTCCTTTAAAATTTTAATTACTGTGTCATGCACATGTGTGTATGTATGCATGAAAACATTCGTGCTTAATTATGTACTTTGTTTTTAGCAATGCTACAGGTAACACAGTGTTAATGGATTTGAATGTTAATATTTTGGAAGAGAATTCTTGAGTACTGAATTTAGAGATATTCAGATTACTCCCTGTCTCCCCCATTTAGGAAGAAAAGAGCAGGAAACTGAAATGGTTTCATCACCTTTTTTTTTGAAGTTACAAACTTCTTAGAGAATCTGACTAAAGCTACATGCCCCTCTTAAAAAATACATGCATACATATATTTGATGGATACCACTTTTTGACCCAACAAAGCAATTTTCTACTTCTCTCTATAGAAAACCTCTGCACTACCACAGTTTTCTAGAGCCCTTATGTAATATTGTTTTATAGAGCCATATAATTCAAAGTACTCAGCAAAAGAATGCTCAGGTAAAGTTTTTTTGGAATATTTATTTTAGTGATTGTATACCTTAATTTGTGCTGAGCAAAACGAGAAACAAGAGGAATCTGGAAAACACATTTGACCAGAAAGGCAGACTAAGACCACTTTTCCAACTCTTGACCCCTTGCTAGCTACACACAGCTTCCATTATGACCTTAAACTATCATATCCTACCTGTAAAGCCTGTGTCTGCCAAGCCAGCTCATTAACATATTTTTAAAAATCATTTATTTTCCAATCACAGTTGGCATACAATATAGTATCAGTTTCAGGGAGTTCACCCCAGTGAGACATTATATAACTTACTAAGTGATCATCTTGATAAATCTTGTACCCATCTGACCATACATAGGTATTAGTATGTTACTGACTATATTTCCTATGCTGTACTCTACACCCCCATGACTATTCTGTCACTACCAATATGCACTTCTTAATCCCTTCACCTTTTTCACTCAACATCCCTCCCATTTGGCAACCATCAAAATGTTCCCTGGATCTATGAGTCTGTTACTGTTCTGTGTGTTTATTTTGTTTTCAGATTCAATTGTTGATAAATTTTTTTTGCTGTTTTATTGTTCTTCATCATCTTCCTCTTTCTTCAAGAACACCCTTTAACATTTCATACAATACTGGTCTGGTTGTCATGAACTCCTTTAGCTTTTTCTTGTCTGGGGAACACTTTATCTATTCTTTGATTGTAAATGATAGCTTTGTTAGGTACAGTAATCTTGGTTGTAGGTCCTTGCTTTTCACCACTTTGAATATTTCTTGCCAAACTTCTGGCCCACAAAGCTTCTACTGAGAAATCAGCTGACAGTCTTAAGGGCGGTCCCTTGTATCTAACTGCTTTTCTCTTGCTAGCTTTTAAGATTCTTTGTCTTTTAACTTTTTGCAGTTTAATTATGATGTGTCTTGGTGTGGGCCTCCTTGGGTTCACCTTGTTTGGGACTCTGAGATTCCTGGACTTGTATGTCAATTTCCTTCACCATGTTAGGGAAATTTTCTGTCATTTTTTCAAGTAGGTTTTCAATTTCTTGCTCTCTCTTCTCCTTCCAGCACCCCCCTGATGCAAATGTTGGCACACCTGAAGCTGTCCCAGAGGCTCCTTACCCTATCCTCATTTTTTAAAAATTTCTTTTCTTTTTGCTGTTCTGGTTAGATATTTTTTGATTCCTTATAGTCCAAATTGCGGTTTTGATTCTCAGCTTCATCTATTCTACTATTGATTCCCTGTAAATTATTTTTCATTTCAGCCCTTTTCTAACAGCTCTTTTTATGGTTCCCATGTCCTTTTTTATTGCTGTTGAAGTTCTAAGTTCATCTACTCTTCCCGACTTCACTATACTTCTTTGTAACCAGTGTTTTGAACTCTGTATCTCATAGATCGTCTCCATTTTGTTTAGTTCTTTTTCTGGAGTTTTGTTTTTTTCATTTGAAACATATTTCTTTGTCTCCTCATTTTGGCAGCCTCCCTGTGTTTGTTTCTATGTATTTGGTAGAATTGTTATGTCTCCCAGGCTTGGTAGTGGCCTAATGTAGTAGGTGTCCTGTAGGGTCCAGTGGCACAGGCTCCCCATTCACCTAAGAGGGGCACTCCAGGTACAGGCCCTTCCACTTCCATGTGGGCTGTGCACACCCTCCTGTTGTAGTTAAGCCTTGATTGCCACTGACACATCAATCAGAGGGATTTACCTCCAGGTCAGTTGGCTGCAAAGACTGGTGTAATGATGGTGGAGGATCATCCGTGCAAGGGTCTAACCCATGGAGTAGGATTTATTCAACAGGACTCTGGTGCCCACTGAATCCACCCCTTGACTGTGTCGCTTGTGGAGGTGGTTAGATGGTGCTTCAACATGGTCTGAAACTGTCCACTAGGTGCGCTGGCTCTGGGGTCACCCAGGAGGCATAGGCCTAAGTCAGCCACTGCCTATGTTCTGCCTTGGGCCACCCGGCATGAGCTACAAAATGATCTGCAGATGGGCTGCTACTTGTGCTGGGCTTGTAGGTGCCCTGAGAGGCCAAACTGCAAACCAAGGCTGGCTGCCACTAGTACCTAGCTGCAAGTCACTCAGTGAGAGGTACAGGGCATGCCAAGGCCAGATACTGCTTGTTTGAGAGATTTTAGGAAAGTCTGAAGCATGAGCCGAGACAAACCATCCATTCGTGTAAAAAAGCCACTGGAAACAGTTTGGGTGGGCCCACAGGTTGGTACATGGGGGTCTCAGGGAATCACTAGGCCAGAGTAAGCGGTGTTAGCTAGATTTATGGAGACTCAGATATGGCAGTCACCTACTTGCTCTGTGGGGAAGGGCTGAGAAGAGGAACAATGGCCTCTGTCATCACTTCTGTCAAAGAGAAGAAAACTGCCCCTCCAGCTCTCACCCTGATGCCAGACACTTCAGTTCCTCCCTGTATGTTCTTGGTTCCTTCCCAGCCACTGCCTCAGTGTTGTAGCTCAGAGGGAATGAGTCTGAGTAAGTATGTGTGCAGATCCTTTAAAGGGGATGCCTGAGACTCCAGCCACCTTCAGTCTCACTCAGCCACAATTCTTGCTGGTTTTGACAGCCAGAAGTTATGGGGACTTCTATTCCCAGCACTGAAACCTTGGGCTTGCAGCCAGGTATGCAGTTGGGACTCCTCATTCCTCAGGAGAACCTCTGCAACTGAGATACCCCACCAAATTTTCCCTGCTATACCTGGGTGTGGGACCAGCCCATTCTGTGTCTCCACCCCTCCTACCAGTATCGATGTGGCTTCTTCTTTATATTCTTAAGTTTTAGGACCCCTGTTCACTTAGATTTTACGCAGTTCTGAACGATATTGTTCCGTAGTTTAATTATATTTTTAATGTGATTTGTGGAAGAATG